TATCTAAATTATAATAAAGCATGGAGATACTAGTCATGTTGGCAATATACTGCCTCCAGTGTGCCCCTAAATACTAGTTCCCGGGGAATGTGTGACAGGATACTACTGCACTCATGTTCTACAGTTATCCACCGTAGTAACAAAATATTAAACTATATTGGCCTTCAGTCTGATCTTTCCTGACTCTTATTTTCTAAAGTCACATGTTTTCCAAACAATCATTTTTTTGCACAATAAATATGCCTTTCTCCAACCAACAGAGTCTTTATTCCCCAAGAAGAAGAAAGAAGCTATCCCTCTTTAACTCCCTTACTCTTAGCATATTCTTGTGCTTCTCTTTGCGAGTATTGTACTTACACCAGAAAAAGTTGTATGAGAATTACCTGGGATAAAACAAACCAGCCAACAGGGTGAAATGCTAGGCTAGGGCATTTGCTCTGAAGTAAATTTTCATACAATGGAGAGTTCTGCACTCTAGAAACATTTGACCAGGACTTTTGTGGCAAAAAAATGTGACCTTCCTAGTATAAAGATACATTCCAAAGGAGATAGAAATGTCTAATGTGGAACTATACTCACTGCAGCTGAAACTTAGAACAATGTGGAACCAAGTTCAGTAACTTCCTCCAGAATGTGTTGTTCCCTGAAAGAAACCACTAGTGCAAACATCCGTGCTGCCCGGAACTCGCCACTGCTCCATCACCCGCTGCTGCCACTGCCACCCCAAGGCCAGGACCACCGGCCCAGGCCCCTGCTCCGGCCCGCTTCCCCTGGCATGTGTGAGAGACGCGGCGGGACGGGGTGGGGCACAGGTAGGGGCCCTGTGGACTACAAAGCGCCGGCGGCGACCGGGGCCAGCAGCTGAAGGGCGGTGCCACTGCCGTTTGGGGGCTGAGCGGGGGACTGGGCTGGCCAGGGGCTTTGGTGGTGGCTCCTGGGGGACTTCAATCTCCATGCCAAGATGGTTCTAACTGGGGCGGCTCAGGACTTCATGGCCTCCATAGCAGCCATGGGGCTGTCTCAACACGTCAGTGGCCCGACCCATGAACGTGGACACACTCTGGACCTGGTTTTCTCGACGGGGCAGGAAGAGGGTGATCTAAGGGTGAGGAATTTAAGTTTGACGCCCTTGTCATGGTCAGATCACTTCCTCATAAGGTTTGAGCTCGAGAGTGGCCTTTCCCTCTGTAAGGGTGCAGACCAGATTGTATTGGTCTGCCCCCGGAGCTGGATGGATCCTGATGGATTCCTGAAAGCTCTGGGGGATTTTCTGGTTGACAAGGCTGGTGATCCTGTCGATGCCCTGGTTGAATTGTGGAATGGGGAGATGACCAGGGCAATTGACACGATTGCTCCCAAGTGTCCCCTCCCACCTGGCAGAGCCCGTTCATCTCCTTGGTATACACCTCAATTACGGGCAATGAAGCAGGTTGGGAGACGTCTAGAGCATAGGTGGAGGAGATCACGGGGTGAATCTGACTGAACACACTTAAGAGCCCATTATCGGGCCCATGCTGTAGCAGTGAGGATGGCAAAGAAGAAATTATTTTCCACTTCCATTGCCTCCTCACAATGCCATCCACCGGAGCTCTTTCGGGTGGTGCAAGGGCTGATACATCCAGGCCCAAAGAAAGATCTCATACCACTCTCGAAGGCCCACTGTGATGACTTTGCCAGGCATTTCAGGGAGAAAATCGCTCAGATTCGTCATGAGCTTGACTCTACTATTGAACCAGATTCTACTGAGGAGATGCCAACGACGCCGTCGAGTCCACAATTAATGGATGAATTTCAGTTGTTGCGGCCTCATGATGTGGACAAGGTGCTTGGACAAATATGCCCTACCACTGCTTACTAGACGCATGCCCATCTTGGCTACTTAAGAAAGCCAAGGACAGGATCGGCACCTGGATCCTGGACGTGGTCAACGCCTCTTTAAGAGACAGTCAGGTACCTTCCTCTTTAAAAGAGGCAGTAGTCTGGCCAGTCCTAAAGAAGACATCCCTGGATCCAGAGGTGGCCACCAATTATAGACCGGTGGCCAACATCCAGTTCCTGGGCAAGGTGCTAGAGCGGGTGGTAGCGGGACAACTCCAAGCATTTTTGAATGAAACTGATTATCTGGACCCATTTCAGTCCAGCTTCAGACCCGGGTACGGCACTGAATCTGCCTTGGTCGCCCTGTACGATGACCTGTGCAGGGAGAGAGACAGGGGGAGCGCGTCCCTGTTAGTTCTCCTGGACCTCTCAGCGGCTTTCGATACCATCGACCATGGTATCCTTCTGAATAGACTAGCAGGATTGGGAGCTGGAGGCACCGCATGGTGGTGGTTCCGCTCCTATCTCAACGGCCAATTTCAGAAGGCGGTGCTGGGGGACTATGGCTCTGTGCCATGGCAGTTATGCCATGGAGTCCACAGGGGTCCATTTTGTCCCCCTTGCTATTCAACATCTACATGAAACTGCTGGGAGAGGTCATCAGGAGGTGTGGGTTGTGGAATCATCAGTACGCTGATGATACCCAGCTCTACCTCTCATTTACCACCAATCCAGGTGAGGCAGTGGCTGTGCTGAACCGGTGCCTGGCCAAGGTAATAGGCTGGATGAGGGCCAATAAACTGAAGCTCAATCCAGACAAGACGGAGGTCCTGTTGGTGGGTGGTTCGGGCCTCGGGATGGGGGACTTGGGCCTTGTCCTAAATGGGGTTGCACTCCCTCTGAGGGACAGGGTTCGCAGCTTAGGAGTGTTCCTTGAGCCTGAGCTGTCTTTAGAAGCTCAGGTGATGGCGGTGGCGAGGAACGCTTTCCTTCAGCTTCGGCTGATCCATCAGCTGCGTCCCTTCCTGGAGAATGACTGCCTGGCAACAGTGACACACGCGTTGGTAACTTCCTGATTAGATTTCTGCAATGCGCTCTACGTGGGGCTACCCTTGAAGATGGTCCAGATACTTCCATTGGTGCAGAATAGAGCTGCCAGGCTGCTGACAGGGACTTTGCGTTGTTCTCATATAACCCTGTCAGATCCATTGGCTCCGGATTGAAGTCTGGGCCCAATTCAAGGTGTTGGTTATGACCTACAAAGCCTTCAACGGCTTGGGTCCTGGGTATCTAAAGGAACACTTGCGTCCATATATGCCCTCCCGCCCCTTGAGATCAGCAACAGATGCCCTTCTCCGGGAACCCTCTGTGAATATTAGGAGGTTGAGTACCCGGAGGAGGGCTTTCTCTGCGGTGGTGCCCCATCTATGGAATGCGCTCCCCAGAGAGGTCTGCCTGGCGCTGTCGTTATTTGTTTTTTGGAGCCAGGCTAAGACCTTTTTATTTAAAACTTATTTTAATTGTTAATTTATTGGTTATTTATAGGATTTTAAATCTTTTAAGCCGAGACACACCGGGTTTTAATGTTTTTATTGTACAATTTGTTATATTTTGTTCTTGTTGTGAGCCGCCCCGAGGCTTTGTTGTGATGGAGGTGGCATAAAAATGTTTTAAATAAATAAATAAAATAAACATACCCCTCAATTGTTGCATGGCATTCTACCATCTAAGAGGGAGAAACAAGATCACACAGGAACTTAAGAGGGATTTGCCCAGATAACACCATGAAACCATTTTAAGTGTTTTGTTTCCTTCTATAACAAATCAAAAGCTTTGGGGAAGTCTGCAGCCAGGTACAGAGGCAACAACAGGGTCCTCAGATATATATAGCCTTGGAATCTGGAACTCTCCAGGTATTTCTGAACAAAAACAACTTGCAGCATTTTTAACCATTGCTCATGCTGGCTAAAGGTGAATACAGCTGAAGTTTACATCAGGAGGGCTCCAAGTTATGGAAAACTGCATTAAACTATCATAACCACAGTTTCCCTATTTGTTCCTAATAAATACAACACACTCAGCCAACTCATTGGCAAGCTTGTTGTGTTACTTTGCACAATGCAAACCGTGACTCAGCACACCTGCTTACCTTCTAACAAAAGAAAACAAAACAAGATGGGACAAGAGCGATAAAATAACCAAATTGAAGTGTTTGAGACATACAGTAACAGGTTAGACTTATCCAAAGAGAACAGATGCAGTGAAAGCTTGGTACTTGTAGCTTAGTACTTTCACAGCAGGGGTGGGCAACCTGTAGTCCTCCATATGTTTTGATCCACACTGGCAATCAGCTGCAGCCAGCAGAGCCAATGGTTCTATAGTCTTTGCACCCTCTGAAAATTTCTAAATAGAATTAAAAATCTGAGAAGAGTTATGCCAGATGAGAGCAAGCATCTGCCTAGTCCAACATTCTGTTCAACTGCTCATGGGCAGAACATGAGTGTAACAGCAACTTCCAGGTCATGTTCTCCAGCAACTTTGTAAAGATGCATACTGTCTGATATTGGAAGTAGCATATAGCAATTGTAATTAGTAGGCATTTTTATTATTGTTTCATTCCTATACCAATTATGCCAAGGAAAGGTTCACAACCATTTATTTATTAAATTTATATATTGCCTTTTTTCTTTTTTTAGAACATAAAGCAATATTATCATTCTCCCCTCTTGCTCTCAATCTTATCCCCACAACAACCCTGTGAGGTAAGTTGGGCCGAGAGTCTGTGCAGTTGACTCCATGGTTGAGCAGGGATTAGAACTCAGATTGCCTGTATCCCACTCCCACACTCTTAAACTGGGTCTCAGTTCACTGAGTTCAGTGATAACCTCCATGAATTTGTTTCAAGGTCGGAGTAAGAACCTCCCTTTAGCAACCCTTTCACAAGCAAGCTTATTCAGAAATAAATCCTCCCAAGTTCAAAGGGCCTTACTTCCAGCTAAGCCTTTGGTCGCAATTCTATACACAGTTACAGGGAGTATACACCCCTGAGCACAAGACCTCTTAGTAAAAGGGCACAGGCTTATCAACAGATTTTTCGACATTCGGTGTGAATAACCTTCCCCACTTCTCAGTCATCGGTCACGCTGAATGAGAGAAGAGCAGGCGCTGTGGAGATTACTTACAGCTCTGGTCTCGTATAGCACCAATTTCTGCACAGAGCTGATGATCGGAACCGCCGCAGGCATGGCAACAGAGGTCGAGGAGGCTGCACTCGGCAACCTATAAGCCGCCAAGCCCTTCTAGGGTGCCCCCTCCTCGTTTGGAGGCAACTGTAAGGTTACGGCGCGGGGACAGAAGGGCTGCTAAGCCCTTCTCCCCTCTGAGCCACTCAAGGCACAGGACACCGGAAGAGAGTTGGCTGAGAGCAGCAGGAGCACGGAACCCTTCGCACCGCCGCAAGGAGCAGGCCGTTCCGCCTGGATCGCGCGCAATCGCACAAGGACTGGCCCCTCGGTGTCATGTGATCACATTTGCTGCCGCGGCCATTTTACATTAGGGCATGACGCCCGCCCTGCCAGGAATGCGTACGCCCGAGTTAAGCCTTATCTTTTGCGGGTCGCAGATTTAGGGAAAGGGTAGACACGTCGCTTCTGCGCTCTTGTCTTTTGTCTGGTCCTTAGTGGCGGTTGCAATCTTACGCATGGTCCGCCTAACGGAATCGCGGAGATGTAGCCGTGGGATCACATTCCTGCCCACTGACGGCAACCCTCCAGGATAGATTTGAGGAAGTTCGCAATGCTTGTGCCACAATAAATGTGTTTTTACTTGTGACTTAGGAAGCGACGGCCACAATCCTACGCAGGCAGCTGGGAGTCTATTTGAACTCGGTGGGACTTAGTCTACGATGGTTCAGAAGTTGTTATTTCTGCTGATAGAGGCTAGCGCCGCAGCTAGACTTATAGCGTGATCCTGGCATGCTTATCCCAGTCAGTAGCAAAAATCTACACTGTCAATAGCTCCGAATGTTTCCCAAAGGCTCCCTCCCTTTCTGCGAAAGATAAAGCGTTAATTTCGAAGCTGCCCAACGAGGCTTGCGACAGTCTGCAAGCGTGATGGGCGTTTAACGTCGCCGCTGAAGCAGCGCTGCGGCTCGTGCCACTTTCAAATGAGGAGCCTCGCGCAGGAGCACAGCTACGTTTTGTGCGATGATTGGGTGACGGGAGCGAGGGAGGTGCCGAGACAGCGAGTAGGACAGGGGGCGGGCCGCGGTCTCCAAGGTTACAGAGTAACACAAATCACTGCGGATCAGTGGTTAGTCCATCACGCTCTGGGCGGCTGCAGGAGGCGCGCTGGACCCAGCTGGGCCCAGCTGGGCCCTATCCCATAGTAAGTGCTCCACGCGAGAAGCAAGCCTTGCTATCTTTTTCTCCTCACTCGGCGGCCTGCTCCCGACGCTTAGTCACCATTGCCCGGCGCGAATTAAAACAACAAAGCGTCTTGTGGCACCTGGGTGGGCAGCTTGTGCCCGCCACGTATGGTAACCTGCAACGAATGTCCTCTCCTACCACTGGCTATGTCGGCCTGGACGACGAGGACTTACACAACAGAATAGCTGGCGGGTCACAAATTGCCCATCCAGTGAAGATTAATACATTTGTTCTATCATAAGCTTTCGTGGACATGGCCGACTTCATTGGATGCATAGTTAACTACAACTGAGAATTAGTTACTGCAGGATTTCTTCATGAATTCTCTACTGTTTTATACAATTCTGTCAGAACACTCAAGAAGGCTCTTTAGTTTAAAACTTATCTAAATTTACAATAATAGTCATACTTTGTAGGATTTTGAAGTGCTTCCAATAAAGAGGGTCTGTAAAACAAGTACACCTAAAGGTATGTAGAAACAGCAGAGGTCTTCTGAAGTAACACTTTTTCCCTTCCTAATGTAGGTTTACTGATGGCATCTCAACAGGAGGAGCAATCTTACCCCTTTGTAGATATATATGATGAAGATGAAGCTGATAGAGTCTTTCTTATGTCTAAGCCCACCTGCTTCCTCATCCTTGGAAAACCAGTAAGAAAGAATATCTGGTTTGATTAAACTGCCACTTCAGTCAATCTAACTTAATAAGCAATCTTGTATCTGCTTATAAGTCCTGCTGTATCACTAGGTTTTGCTTAGAGTGAAGGTGCACAGGGCATACACATTGCTGGAAGCAAGTAAGCCCATTTGAGCATACCCATAGGATTTCACTTATACTGTGCTTACCCTTTTCTCATATTCAGTAAACTTTTCTAGAGCTCTGGATTGACTTCAAATTTTAAAGGAACCCTGCCCACTCACTTTTCGCAACAAGCAAAACTTTCTGGGCTAATGAATCTTGCAGGGATCGCTACAGACATGCCAACTTGTTTCTTTCTATACCAAATCTGATGAACAAGAAACTTAACAGTGATTCTTGCTTCATCTTTGCACCTGAAAATAGCAGACAGCTTAAGAGACTGACAATGGCTTCAAGGGAATTGAATTTAAGAGAGTGGAGATGACTTCAGGGGTACTGCAAGGGCTGCTTATTCATGCCGCAATTACATATTCTAGCACATTGTATCGTTTTTCTGTATCATTTGGTATGTTACATTGCTCTTTTGTGTTATCTGGAGCAACCTTCCTCAGCTTTGTACCTCTACACAAAGGAATAATAGAAATTGTCATTCAACACATCTGGAGGAGAGCAGTTTGAGGAAGGCTGACTTGAAATGTTTCCATGACATTTCAGCTTTTACCAAAATAGGCTGTATGGGCATGGAAACTTCATTGCCCACTTCAAAAACAACAGTTAGATCAACCTTTAATTCCAAGTAAGAAAGTTGAACATCACATTCTCACTGATTTCAGAAGGACTAATTTCCCATTATGTATATTTATATTTCCAGCCAAGTTCACTGATCATAAATAATTTGTATTAGGAAACAGGCTGCATTCTGTGGCATTTATTTCTATCCTGTATTTATGATTAAGTTGTTTGTAGCTACAAACATATCATTTATCACTGGCTGAGTAAATATTGCTAGAAGTGACTATAAATATGTCCTTCTGGAAGTTTACGCTTGTCTCAGTGTTAAATGTACCGGATCTGATGCATTAAGCTAAACTTTGTATACACTGCAAAAAGACTTGTAATTATTTAGTGTTTTACATTTCTCTCCCTCCTTTTCACTAAAAGCAGTGTACATGATTCTCCTCTCCTTGCAACAAACTTGTGAGGTAGAGTAGGCTGAAAGTGACTGACCTAAAGGCACCCAATGAGTAGAGATTTCAATCTGAGTTTCCCCAGTCCAAATCCCACACTCTAAACTGTACTACATTGGGTCTCTGTTTGACTAGGCTCCTCTAGAAATTCTGTACAAAGTGTTTCAAAAGGACATTGTGAGGTGGGATGAGGAAGCGTTGTCAAATAGAACCAGAAGCAAGGCTACAGTTACACATTTGGAGCACAGTGCAACTTATTAACACATGATAAGTACAATTCAAAGAACTTTAAGATGCATACCAATGTCCATAAAAACAAAAACCAGCATGTTTGGTATTATGCCCTACAGAATTGAGCTTGGTTTCTTGTAACCTTTACCCTTCAAATGACATACCCACCTCCATAGCAAATACTGATTTTGCATGTGGTGTATTACCTCTTTTGTTCTTATTATAGGTTGTTTCTTTTTTAATTGTAAAGTACAGTTCAAACATTGTACAGTTATGCAGGTATTATTTGCATGGCTATTCATGTGAACAATATGATGCTTGTTTTTAATTAAAAAACTGTGGTTTATTTTTAAATTGAGAACTGGGGTGGGATGTTTTATGATATCACAGGTGCTCAGCCAATCAGTTTGCACAGCTTTTTCTGTTTCAGAGTGACAGTAGAAAAAATAGCTGAGCTCAGTCTATGTCTGAAAAATTATGTGTGACAGTGAGAGATGTATGGATTTTGTTACAGCCATTCCTTCTGTGTTTCAAGGATTGTTAGATGACTTTCATTCCATCATCCACTCATTTGGATTTTCTTAGGGATGTATGAGAATTTTGTTCATTTAGTGCATATGCACGTAATTGCTGGTGCACATCAATGTGTTGTATATTTGTACAAGTATCTCCCAAAACTTTTTAAAAAATCAGTCCATAGATCCTCAGAATCTGTATGTCTTGGAAAAGGACAGTCTATTGTGGGCTTCGTAGGATGAATTCGTATAAATCTGAACTCATTTGGAGTCATTGTGGATTTTTCTGACATCCCTCGTGACAACAGCATGGTAGTTCACTTTCAATCATGGAACAGCTCACACTTTAACATATCTATAGATTCTGTCCTAGGCACACAGTTAAACAACAGAGTGCATGGACAAGCTGAGTTCTTACCTTTGGTTACATTGCTATCAATGCTGTTTTGTAGCAGAAAAGTACTAGCTAGCACTCTCTTGTCCATGTCTCCTTAGAAGTTAATCCTAAAGCGTTCAGTGGAGCTTATCCCAGATTTTTAAAAAGCCTTAGTTAACCTTTTCATCTTCTGCATGAAAATGCTTAGGTAAATGTGTTTATAAGACACAAGATAAAATCAAATCACTTGAGTTATTTTGTCTCCAACACTTAGAAATCAAAAAGTGTCAGATATGTTTTCTCTCTTAAAGTCAACAAGCACAAAAAGAACCAAGACAACTATCCTGGTTAATCAAATAAATAAATAAATAAATAAGAAGTGCATAACTTAGTTTGCTATAAAAACTAGGAAATCTGGAATATATTTCATAAGATACTAGAGAATACCTACAAGATTTCTCACTTTATGACAGCAAGTAACACAGAAGCTCAAATGGAATTTCTACTCACTAGATCTAATAAAGATCAGTATATCAAGTTTTGTCTTTTTATTCTACTTTGTTATATTTGAAGCACTGCAACATTATTCCAGTTTTCTATAATCTTTCTGTTTTCATTTTAAGGGTGTTGGGAAAGACACATTAGCCAAAAAAATGGCCCAGATTTGGAAGTGCACACTCATAAATGGTAAATATGAAAAATATACTAGTTTGACAATATTCCTTGCTTTTTGTATGATTTGTAACTTTAGAAGCTGTGAAATCATCTGCAGTTTTTTTCTGAATTATTTTATTATTTCTTCAGAAGAAATTAAAGGAAAAAAGAAATAAATGGGATGAGTAGCTTGTCACCTGTGGTCACCCATACATACACACATAATGCCAAAACATAAAATAATCTTTTAAAAATGCAAGTAGAGTCCATAGTAGTGATAGAGTGCCTGAAGGGTGAAACTGAGTCAGTTTTTACCTGTTTGACTCCATAGCTAATACTCCATAGCCTTTTTGTTTCTTCCAAATAATGTTTTAAATGGATTTGGGAGGCCAAAGGAAGCAACAGGGATCAGATGCAGGATGTATGTCACACATTGCCCACCCCAATCGTGTGAACAACCAAAAGGAGGGCCAATCAGTAAACAAGAGATATTAAAGTAGGTCCAGAATCTTACTTCACGTATTATGTTTTAGAATCCTAGTTTGAAAAGTGAGTCTCATATTGCTCTAGAAATGCTAGAAAAACTTAGAAATCCTGAAGAAGAGAATTATTTTTTTCTTGGAGGTTTCTCCTTTACATCCTTTAGGATGTTAGGAAGTAGCATCCCTTTGACCACCTCACCTTGGATGCTGGTCACAACCTGGAGATTTGCTTACATTTCTTTTTTCCACAGCAGGCAGTATGGTGGCTGACTGCCTATGGTCAGGCCTATTGATTCTGATGCACAAGTGGCCCCCACTGTCTGCACGATGGCAATTTGCCAGGAACAGCAATTGGTAGGGCTGGTAATACATGGAACAAAAGTGGTGGCCCTTCATTCAAATAGACAGGATTAGATACTGCCCTTTCTGACAATAAAACATGCTGTTGTTCCAAATTCACCCACCCACTCCCTTTACTGTCCCATTCATTGACCCAGGGGGCATGGCACAAGTAAAGCCAGAACTGCAGCATCTTTTGCTGCTGCAAAGTGATTCAGAGGAGTGCAACCTGGTAATCTCATTGTTACTTCAGCTACTTACCTTTAAATTATTTTCCCACTGGCTCAGGCTCTTCCACAGAGACAATGTATAATCCCCATGGTGATCTCACCTTTTGGATCCCTTACTTAAATCTGCAAGAGTGAATTGAGAATACAGTAAGGCAGTGATCAGATTTTCACTCACTCAGGTCTGATCTGGCATCAGCAGGACTGTGAGTCAAAGGCTAAATCTGAAAGGGCATCTGGCTGTTTTAGCAAGTTTGCTGCAGAAAGGATTTCTCTGAAATTGATTGGTGCAGTGTTTCCAAACAGCTGCAATATTTGATTGCAACATGAATTTTAACTGCTATATGGCTTTACATTGCATCTGAAAGAAGGACAGTGTTGCTTTACAAACTGTATCATTTATCATTGTTGCTTTACAAACTGTAACATGAAATACAAGGGAGCCCTCTGGTGGCCGAAATGGCAGTTATGATTTTTGTGAGAACCTTGGTCAGATAGACATGATCCCAGAGATGGCATACTTCTAGATGAGGCTTTTATTATGTGTTTACCATGGCTTATTTGTGGAGATTTATGGGGCAGGCAGCTATACAACATTGTCATCCTCTTTCATAGCTTCTCTATTTTCCTGCCACTTCTCTGTTTTTTTCCCCCTTAATCATAATGGGAAGAATCCAATCTCTTTTGAAATTACAAAGTCATTTGTAACCATCCATGGGAGGGATGCAGTGTAAGACTGATTTTGCATGATGTCCTTAGGGAAATTGGTTGTGATGCTAGCCATGGCAATTGCAAGGAGAGTGTTCCATTTGCCATTCTGACTTTTCTATTTCATTTTGCTTCTGGGAATTCACATCTGACAGACAAAAAGTGTATGCTTTCTCTTTTTAAGTGGTGTGCAGAATGACCACTAAGATTTCCCACTTTAAGACAACAACTAACCAGAAGCCTCATGTGGCTGCTTTGAGAATGAGAAAACTCGACACTGGGGGAGAAGGTGTATATCCCTTTCACCTGCCTTATTTTCTCTATCTAAATGTTGCCTTATAAAGCTAGCATTAGCTAAAGATGGCGAGATAGAGATGTTATATACCACACTCCGATTTTATTTGAATCCCAGTAAAGTTACAGCAAGAAGATATATTAATAACTGTCCATCCACATGCAGAAGTGGACCAGAACATTCTACTTTTAATAATGATGTTTACTATCTAAACCCAGATACGTATAATTTTGTTCTCATCCAACAACTTGTGTGGTACTTTGCTTTTAAAACCTATCTCCAAATTCTGCTTAACTGATAAAGGTGGGCAAGAACAAATTTAAAAGAAATGACAACAATATCATAAAATTCATAATTTACTAGAAAATCAACCAATTGCAGCTAAAAATTAAACTCTTCCACCCTAAAAGTTATAAAAACAAGTGCCTCTGGTAGCTGTTGAAAATAGACCTCTTGAAAGCTTTTTCATACAGGTTATTTTTAATCTATTGCCTTTTCATATAGTGCACATTTAAAAGTTATACTATGCTACCACATGGTGTTTTTAAAATGAGATTAGACAAAGTCTTCAGTGAGGAGACTATTAATGGCCACTAGTCATGATGACTATACAGAAACTGCTCTGAAATGACAGTTCCTTCAAAACAATCACAGGAGAAGGCTATTCCCTTCCTTTCTTGCTTGTGGACTTTTTGGTCTAATCCAGCATGGCTCTTCCTTTGGTCTGTAAAAAGGGGAGAATGGAGTCTGGGAATGACATTCCTCAGCCAGGAGTTTCCAAAGAAATAATCTTGTCCCATGAGCTCAGATAAGGGGCAGACAGCTTCTGGAGATTATGGGCTCACATGTCTGCCCTCTACTGGCAAAATTGCTGCCACAGCAGCAACTCCCCTCCACTGCACAATTTTGTTTGAAAGTAAGACAGTTATCCACTGTGTGCCTTATTTTTGAAGCAAATTGCCATTTTTTTCTGCTACTGCAGCAGGTTCAGAAGTTGTGATAGACAGTGGAGGCTGGAAAAACAGGCCATGGGAGGGGTGAGGCATGCAATCTGCAGATTTGATTGACCTGTGCCTGATAAATGCCTGTGAAAATAAGCCTCCCTTTCCATGATTTTGGGAAGAAGGATATTATGGATGCTTAGCAACTGTAGGCTTTCTGCTCAATTATTTGGTGCCCAAAGTGGCTGGGCTGATCTTCACTGATAGCTAAGCCACAGAGGCAGGCTCTTCCATTCCCCTGCACTAGTGCTGGCAGCTGACAATAGCTAACAAAGAAATGAAGGCTCTTTGGTTGTAAAAGTAAATAGACAAAAGTCAGCAGAAAACCTCAAAGCACTGCCTTAAAATAAAAGGGAGGAGTAGAGGCCAGGAGGCAGGCAGCCACTATTACACTCCAAAATGGCTCCTGGGCATTGTTTCTCCCTTTTGCCTTATGGAAATGTGAATAAAAACTCCTGCTTGTGGTTAGATTTCACTTCTTTGGGCTCTTGGTTTACACTAATCCTTGCACTGCTTAGGACCACAATACCTATTGGAATGCCTCTCCCAAATGCAATCTGTCTGGACACTAGTTTCAACCTGTGGGAACTTCCTACAATTTCAAGCAGGCTTTCTGGGGAATGCTGGGAATTGTAGGATTTTTTGGTCTAAATATGCATAAGATCACACCCTAATGGAGTCTAACCTTTACTGTGTGTCCTGTGTGTGTGTGTGTGTGTGTGTGTGTATTACATTTATGTATGTATGTGTACATATGTATGCATAAATCCACTTCTAATGAACAGTTTCTATGTAATATATCCATTTTAGCTTTGGAGCTGATAGATGAGAACATAAAATCAGAGACAGAATATGGACTCAAGGTAAAACCTGTACTTTATTTAATTGACTTTATCGGGTATACACTATTTTATTTCTCTTTAAGACTAAAGGTTTATTTCTCTCAAACAGTAATGCAACGGGTAGGGGAGTTCATTTCAGTGGTGCTCACAACAATGAATTATTGATTATAAGGCAGAATTAAACTTGGTGTTTTGAAGAAGGAGCTATTGCTCAGTGGTACAGTGTGTGCTTTTCATTCAGGTTCAACTTCTGGTGTCTACAATTTAAAAAAACAGGCAACTACAGCCTCTCTTGGAGCCCTGGGCACCTTTGAGAATGTGAGAAGCTACTGTGGGCACCACTACAAACTGCTTAATCTGTGGCTCAGTGCTTTGGCATCTACCTGTCACTTTTAGACTGCATCTTATTTTTTAGAAACCTATATTTTGCATCTATTGGACACTGCAATTTCTCTCTAATAAGGGAGTAACTAATTCAACTAATTGCTGGCTAATATAGGTAATGCTTCTTTTAAACACATGTTTTGGTAATATCTAGTTGTCGATTGTTTTTATGGGGAGTTCAATTACATGCATACATTTTGCAATGGAACTCTTTTATTTGCTGATGTAATGTGCTTTTAGCTACCTGCTTCATGGCTGTTAACATGTGGTCAGTACAGATGGATTCTCTGCACCCTTCTAACAGCTAAAAGTCTGATAGCACTAGAAGCATAAACACTCACTTCCTACAATGCAATGGATTGACGACCTTAGACCATTTTCAGTACCTGAATGGGTGGCATGCAGATTCCACCTTCAAACAGATACTTATTTGATATTCAGTCTGCTTATGTTAAAACTAACATAGAATTGTTAGAAAGTTGGATACATTTCATACAAATCCATGTATACATATTAAAAACAGGGGGGAACATATATTTACAGGTGCCCAGAACTTTGAAGGTATGCATGAGTACTGCACTGGGAAGCCCTGAAGACACACATAAGGGGAAGGTTGGAGAGTTTTTCAGAGTGAACTGTACTGAGCCAGATAGATAAATGGTCTTCCACACTATTAAACAATTTTGGGCCAATTATATATCTAATATGCATACAATATTATATTTATTTTTAATAGTGTAAGGAACTGCTTTACCAAGGCCAAAATGTTCCTGAAGAATTGATTATAAAGATGCTTCTAAATAAGATTGAATCTCCAGAGATTATGCATTTTGGTATGTGCTTTCTTTCTTTTCCTGACTATCACATATGTTTCTATTAATTCCATAAGAGTTGAGGAACTCTCTACAACAATAGGGAAGGTGATGCTGGGATTGCAGAGGAAGGGGGAAGGAGTAAAACACTGGACCCAACCTAATGTTTCCAAGGTCAGAATGGTTAAATCTGGGGTTGGGGAGAGTTCTGTTCTTCTAGGCAGCTTTTACAGTTTGTGGTGTGGCAATATGTAATTGAAATGCATCAGCAGTATACAGTGTGCATATATGTGTGTGTGCTAATCGAGGTTTTTGTGTGTTTTTGCAGGTTATGTTCTCTGTGATTTTCCATCTCTTTCAGAGGAATTCATGAGTATACCCGAACAGATACAGATAATCAGAAATTTAAAATTAAAACCAGATTTCCTGATTAATATTAAGGTAATGGTCAGTTTCTCAGATCATCTTATACTGGCTCTGCAAGTGAGATTTAATATTGTTAGAGGTGTTGATAGGAAGGTTCTGATTGCTTCTGACTTAAATATATTCTTTGGTATTTATACTCTCCATTAATTCATTTATTCCTGAAAATTCAAGTTGTTATTCAAAATCATTGCATTCTTGTTTTCTCCTAGGTGGTGTTCTGGATTTTTAAACTGCTGATTTTTCATTATTTTAAGCCCATAGGTTGCAATTGAAGCCCAGTCTTTTCAGTCTAACATGAGCTAAACAGGTCACTTATATTACCTGGTTTGTGAGTGGTGTGGTTTGAGAAGTGATTGGTGATGAAAAGTAACTCCGCCACATAACTCTCTTACACACAGATCTTTGCACTTTCAAACACTGCCTGTTTTACAGTACTAATTGCCTACTATGGAATCAAATTGTAAAGAATCTTAATATGCTTCTAGAAAAGGGGGAAGGGTAGAAGAAAATTAAACAAACAGTACCACTTTTCTAAATGTTTAGGTCTTGAAATTGTCATAAATGCAAGTGGGAACGGGAAAGGATTCTTTTAATTAAAATATTGAACTATATAGCCTAGTTCAGCCTTTTCCAGACTAGTGACCTCCAGACTTTTTGGACTTCAATTCACATCCATCTGAGTTTCATGGATAATGTTAAAGAGCTGTAATCTGCAACACCTGGAGGGCACCAGGTTGGAGAAAGCTGACATAGACTAATTCCAGTGCCCATGTTAAGTACAGCTTTGATGGGGCAGTGAAATTTATGTGGATCTTCTTCCTTTATTTTTGTAGTGTGTTCATTGCAAGGCAAAAATAAGATGAATTTGACAATTTATGTCAGTTTGGGCTTTCTCCATGGAATAGCAGGAATAATGGTACAAAAGCTCTAACTGGAAAGGGGTAGAGTAGAAAAACTCTCCCATAAAAGTAGCAGGCCAAAACTCTTATTGAGTTAGAGCAACAAGAATAGCAATGATGGGTGCTCTTTAAGGGAGAAGGGTAGGCCATTTGAAGTCCCTGCTGTCACGGCTGTGGGGGACAGTCACTCTGGCTTGGTGAGGTGTGCGTTGGATGAAGTTTTGTCAGTATTTTTAAAGAAGGTGAACTTCTGAGTAGTGGCTGCATCGTGAACAAATAGTACTGAATTCGAGAAGGATCTATGTAGCAGTAATGGTGCATGCACGGATCATTACTTTTTAAAGCTATCTAGAAATAGTTTGATTTTCTCTCTTATGATTTTGGAGATGTTGGTGTACTTTAATTGTAGAGAAATGTGATTGTGAAGTTTGCACATAACGTAAAAGTGGTTGTACAAAATGCCAAGACTCACTTCAGGCTTTAATGGGATGGAAGTGCATTTGCTTAAATTCAGTTTTTAAGGTGGGTGTGAAGGTACTTGTTATGTAAGAACCAAACCGGCAGAAAGTTATGTGCAGCGACCCTGATCACAATTCTTCAACAAATTAGCCATCTATTGCAAGAAAATGGATTAACTGTATTGTCTTTTGTCTTAAGACGTCAAGGCACCTACACTAAAAGCTTTACTTACAAAAATCTTAGAGTTTCGAATTATAGTGTGGGCTGTTCCTAACCAAACTGCATCCCATAACTATTTTTCTGTGTTTTTAACTAGTGTCCTAACTATGATTTGTGCCAAAAAATCACTGGACAAAGACAGCACCCTGACATGGGACAAATATATCAGAGGGAAGAGTGGGATCCTGATATTATTGAAAAGCGTAAAAAGAAGAAGAAGGAACCACGGAAACCTACAGAAGAGGAAGAGGAGGAAGAGGAGGAGGAGGAGGAAGAAGAAACCAATGAGGTACTTTATCAAGACTTCCTGGAAAAGAAAAAAACATTAAAATAATATGTAGTATCCTAGTAATATGAAACTGCATTGCAAATATATAAGTAAAATATCTAATGATCCTTTATGGTGAATTTAAAAGAACTTTCGGCTTTGTTGCATAATATGAAAGGGCCAGAGTACACCTATTTGAATTTGTATCTTTATTTCCCATAGTTTTGGAGGTTTGGGGGCGGGATGCTTGGTGTGGGTAGCTATAAAATATATTTAGAAAAAACCCTAAAATGTACTATATTAATTAAATAATTTCTTACCTCTACATGCCATACATTGGCGCAAACAAAAGTGGATTATGTGTTTTAAAAATTCTTTTTGCTGAGCTTTGCCAATCTTCTGAAAAAAGCAGTTCCATGGTTATAGGGCAAACAGAGAAAATATCTGTCTGCATGCCTGCCCTTGCCATTCAGTCATGTTGCACAGGTGACATAGACTGCTGGAAGAAATGGAATGTCTTCAAGAGTCATCTCAGGTTTACATTCACCTGAAAGAGCTCCAGCCTGAAAAAGATTCTTTAAATGGTAAAATGGTTTAATAGATTTGTATTCCACTTTTTAAGAAAAATGCATTATTAAAGATTAATTTCATTCACTCCACAACTTAACCAGCCACCATTTCAGTGAAGACTGCTGAAAGTAGAGTTTGGAAAGAGGTCTTGGTATTGCATTCTTTAATGATGGGTTAGAAGCACACAGGTTGGAGACAGCCATCATAAGTGTTGGTGCATGTGTAATAACAATCCAGCAACATAGAGGCAGGGGAATTTATGTGCAAAGGAAGGTGTATGCAATTTGGTATAGCCATAGTTAAGGCATGGCTACCAGCCCTGGCTAAGAGAAATGTCAAGGCAGGGGTTGCATGATCTTAGGGGAAAGAGAACAATGAGGGAAAGGTCTATAAAGAATGATGTGTGAGTTTTGCAATTTGGTGTGCAAGAGCAGAGGACTGACTTGGGGAATTCACCAAGGGATGCAAAGTGATCAGGAAATACTATGTATTTGAATTTGGAAACACAATCCAAATTTCAGTCTGTTTTCTTTGCCTTTAAAAGAAAAATTCTATGCTTTATTTTCAAATTTTGAGGACTGCAGTCTATTTAGTTCAATGCATACCTAAAGTTTATTTACACAACAGAGGACAGTCACACAAAGCCCTTTCCTTTTATTCCCATTGTGACTTGGTTATGGTGTTCAAAATTTATGCATGCTTAAATAGGAAAAAAGCCTATATCTCCTGAAATTCTCCAGCCATCATAGGATCATGACCTTAGCCAACAGTTCCTGTTGCAGCTTCCTATGATACCAGAGTAGGTACTGGGATCAAGATTGCTGCTTTCTGTTTTTATTATAATAACATAATTTAAGTTTTTTCCCCCTCCTAGGCAATAGCTGATCAACTCATGTTGACAGAAATTTTGCCGAGTTTGGTACAGAGACCAGAAGATTTTTTGGAAAATGCACAGGAGAGAATTGCAGTCTATAAAGATACTATGCTACAACCTCTCGAGGTAAGAACAATATGGTGTGTTTGCTATAACTTTTATAAGTAAGAGGACAAAAGTAGAAAATAGCAGATAACTGTTCCTTTAGCATTTGTGTGATATTGCTGACAATCACTTACATTCTGCTCAGAAAAATGCAGCCAATATGATCAAGAGTCTGGAGCAAGTCCCAAGTGAAAAAAAGTTAGTGCTGGGAGTTTTTTAGTTTAGAATAAAGGTGGGTTATGGAGCCACCTTTATTCAATGGAGGTGTATAAAATTAAGCACACTGTGGAGAGACTGGACAGGGAGCATTGCTTCCCATAAAACTGGAAGATTCTGGACAAATGAACAGACATATTTCTTTGTACAGCACATAGTTAAACACTGTAATTTGCTGACACAAGGCAAGAGTATATGTGACTACTAGTCATATTTGCTAAATATTAGCTTTAATATCAGAGATACTATGTCTCTCAATACCAGTTGCTGGGGAGCATACGTTCATGCCTTCTTTGTAGGCTTGTCAGTAAGCATCTGAATGCTGGGCTAGATAGCCTTCAATCTGATCCAGCATAGCTTTTCCTATATTCTTATGAGGGCCCTGTACTATGAAAATGGACAATTAACATTGCTAATCTGGTCCCACCATGCTTTGTCAGTTTCTAAGCTGTGCTGTCTCCATGAGTCTTTTGCATGAGGGTACATGTAAGACTTCTTAAGTGTAATCATATCAAACCCCCATGTCCTTTACCATGTATAACATTTATATTTGTTCAGCTAAATGTTTAAATGTTAACTATTAATAATGTTAACTTCTGTCCTGTCCATTTGAAAGTAGCCAGAGATTAAAGAGGTCTACAGAATTGCTCATCAGAACCAATTGTCTAAACTATTTCATAAATGAATCAGTGAAAGCTGTAGATGATGTGGGAGCACACCCATCATCTTTGTTTCTGTTTTTAAAATGTTCAGGAATTAATGGCTGAGCAGGATTCCCAGTATCTCATTGAATTAGATGGAAATAAGTCTGCAGAAGAGCTCTTTACAGTAAGTATGCAACAGATATTTCACATTACTTTCCAAAGAAGCAGTATTATCCTCACAGCACATTCTGCCATTTTTTTAAAAGTGTAATTTAAAGGATACTTATTTTCAATGTCAGTAATGGTTTGGTGATATAATGCACTTATAGAATGATATACAAGCCAGCCAAGTCCATCTAGTTAGAAGGCATATTAATCAAAATATTAGTTACAACTTGACTTAAGAGGTGTATAGATCAGGTTAATCACCAGTCTTCCCTAAACAGCTTGGGACCTGGATATCTAAAGGAATGCTTGTGTCCCTATATGCCTTCCCGCCCCTTGAGATCAGCAACAGATGCCCTTCTCCGGGAACCCTCTGTGAATGATATTAGGAGGGTGAGTACCCAGAGGAGGGCTTTCTCTGTGGTGGCGCCCCATCTATGGAATGTGTTCCCCAGAGAGGTCCACCTGGCGCCGTCATTATTTGTTTTTCAGCGCCAGGGTAAGACCTTTTTATTTAAAATTTATTTTATTTGTTAAATTATTTGTATTTATAGGATTTTAAATTTTTAGCCGAGATGCCCCAGAGGTTTTTAAATAATTTTTTTTATTGTTATATTGTTATTTATTTATGTATTTTGTTTCTGTTCTGAGCTGCCCCGAGGCTTCGTTGCAATGCGGGCAGCATAAAAATGTTTTAAATAAATAAATAAATATTGTGCACAAAAGCCACCATGCCAAAATTTTCTGCCAGGATCTCAAGTATAGGTTAATGTTTACTCCTCTCAATTCCAGTGCAAGAATACTTCACTGATACCTTATGCAGGTATACTACATCATGTATAGTATATGGTGTTTAGACATTATTTGCTGTGTATATAGGGACACACATTTTACAGTGAGATGTGATAAATATGCAATATAGCAGGGGTGGGCAGACTTCAGGCTGGTGGACTCTAAAATTCCAAAGGTCACCAACTAGAGCCTAGTGAAAAATGGGGGCGTTAGACATACTCTTAAAATTAGGAAAAAGAATGAGCAAATTTGTCCCTGAAAATAGTACCACAATGGAGTTTGCAGTCCTGTCACACAATCAGCTCTTGGCTATTACCTCAAGCTATCTTCAATCTTAACAGTCAAATTTAAAAGAGAGTGAGAAAGCCCTTTGTTTGTTCCTATTGTTAAAAAAACAAGGTGTCAGAAACACTTAGTGATTAATTGCAAATATGCCAGAGAACTTCCAGCAGATCCTGAACTGTCTTCTTTCTGCTTCTGCAGTATAGGTATATTTCCAGAATCTTACTAATATTCCTTCCACTTAATTTGGGACTATGCAAATGGCTCTGTCCCCTTCAGTGGAAGGAGCCTTCTCCAGTTCCAGTCTTGCCTGCTTCAAGACAATGAGGCTTTTGTAAAGCTCCATCTTTACAAACCATTTTTGAAAGGAACCTTTCAATCCATTCCCCTATGCAGAAATGCATGTGTGCTTCCTGACCATTATTCTTTTAAAAATGGAAATCCATGCATTTGTGGGACTGTGGCTCACACCTAGAAACCTTTATTGGACCATGGGTGTTATAAGAACAGTTGATGACTTTGGAAAACCACTGAAGCAAGTTTACAGATTGGCTTCTCATATTTCAAGACAAATAATGAGTATTTAAATAGCAATGTATTCATTTTTAATTTTTTTCTTTAGTCAGTAATAATCCGGCTCCAATCCATGGGCATACGAAATGGAGCTCTTCTCACCAAACTTCAGAGCACAGAGGAAGAAATGTTAGATGGGCTAGAGAATGTAAGCCAATATTTTGATCTGTTATAAATGGTTGGCTGTAGCAACAGCATATGATTAATAACAGGGCCATTGGTATCAATGCTGATAGATCTAACAACTATTTTTTGAACTAGGAAGATTCAAACATTAAGTACAACTGGAAGATTCAGTGCAGATAACAGATTGTTCATTCTGATTTCTCACTTCACTCTTTTCTCCTATATTTGAAACTGCATTCCAAATTCCAATTTCAAAAGCAAATAATTCTACCATTTTAAATATAACTTCTGCCCAGAGGGGTTTTTCTCCTTCCAGTTCTTCAGTAAATCCTTTAAAGGCTCTATTATTATGCCATTCCATTCATACAGAAAGCTACGTGTCAGTAATTAGTGGTATGTAACGTCAGTGCAGTAATGTTTGAAAATAAGTACAAAATAGCACACTTTACACCTGCTTTAACTGATTCATTTTTGCACTCAGGATGAACTTTTTCGGGTGCTTGCATCATACAAGCTTGTAGCACCTCGACACAGATGGCGTCGCAGCAGATGGGGACGGGCCTGTCCTGTGGCTTTAAAAGGTGGCGAAATTGTCATGGGATCAGCAGACTATGCCATTGGGTAGGCCAAAATCTAGCATGTCTTAATACAAGCACTGACATTCCAAGCCTATAGTTCTATGTGTTTGTTTTCTTTTTTAGCTTCTTAGGCAAGATGTACATGCTTTCAACTGAGGAAGCACTGAAACAGTTTATGTTGAATCCGCGTCCCTACTTACTGCCACCTATGCCACTTCCACCTTGTAAAGTATTCATAACTGGACCTCCTTTATCTGGGAAATCAACCCTGTGTGTTTTGGTGGCTGACCATTATCATGCAAAGGTGGGTATAAATGGATCTTGGTATCTCAACCACAAAGATTCCCCACTGTAGAATATTCTGTCTAAAGAGCAAAAGCACATAATGGTTTCATTGATAAGAAAATACATCTTTTCCCAAAGATGGCTTCCTTGCATCAGTGCCCAAAGGTATTGGTCTAGCCCAGGGGTCGGCAACCTTAAACACTCAAAGAGCCATTTGGACCCGTTTCTCACAGAATAGAAAACACCGGGAGACACGAACAGACACGAAACACTAAGGAGACATGAACAGTAGTGGACCTACTGCAGGAAAGGCTCTATTCCTACTCCAAGTGAAGCATACTTTTCGTTATGTGGAATAGCTTGCTACTGGGGTTTTTTTACTTTGTTTTTTGCTGTTCCCCCATGCAGCTCATGGCACTGAACAAACTCATGTACCCTGCCTTCATCCACATAATATCCCTATGAAACGGAATAGGGATATTAACCCAGACAGCAGGTTTTATGGCTATGCCATAACATTCATTGACCATTCAATATTTATAAGCCTAATGCCCATGTTCTAATTCCAGAATTCTATCTTCCTTGGTATACTGGCTGCCAGTATTCTGATTATTCAGAAAAATTATGAATTGTTATGTTAGTAAGGCTGGTTTCTCCCTAGATTTATACTGGAGTAAATCATAGTCCTTTGGTTTTATAGTTTCTCTCTCAGCATGTCTACCCCAAGACAGACATTAGTAATTATGTCTCTGATATGAAAGGGTGGGTAGGCAGGAGAATAATAAAAATGAAAGGCGTCACAAAGTGTTTGTCCATACAGATATAAGGGATACTGTAAGGAGGCTAGCTTCTGTTTTATGAAATACTAACTTTCACTACAAAAATTGTAAGTGGAAGCACTGAATGAGACATTACTAGGATATGAGATGGCTCATACTTCACCTTTGTTTTGAGACAGATTTTAGCAAAATTAGCAGGCACAAGCATTCTTCCTCTATTTCCTAACGTTTAATTTCTGGTGGCTTTTTTAGGTTCTTGATATGGATGTTCTTCTGAAACTACAGTATGAAGAAGCAAGAATAGAACTTATTGAGCATACTCGTTATGAAGCAATAGAAGCAGGCATTGCCAAAGTGAAAGAAAAACTGGAAATGGAACGACTGTTAAAGGAACAAGGTGAAGATGTTTAATGTCGGCAGGGCGACTTAATTTATACTGTTAATTTATATTATTTATTGAGTTTATGATGGTTGTGAGCCGCCCCGAGGCTTCAGCAAATGGGGCGGCATATAAATCTCCTAAATAAATAAATAAATAAAATAATGTAACAGTTGTTCATGTCATGCTAGAAGGATATTTCTCAGGCTTTCTTGTTAGGTGAAGGAGGTAAATGATATTACACAAACAGTATGGTTAGTACTTTAGGATATTTAGGACATGTGTGATGTAGCAAAATTCAAGGCATATAAAAGTGCATTCTTGTGCATATTTACTCTGAAGTGCCACTACATTTAGTAGATTTATTCATAGGTAAGAGTGCCTTTGATTAGAGTTGTAATTTGCCTTATGAATCATATTCATGTCAACTTGCAAGTACATACGAAACTTATTCTCAAGTAAGTGTGTATTAAGATAGCAGTCAGATATTATAACAGAGGACCAGGTAAACCTTATCCATGAATCAAAAAAGAAAAAGAATAACTTTTTATGATATAATACCAGCCTCATCAGTGTTAACCAATGATAGGCCTGTATTCGATACAGAGAATAATAGTGAAACCTAAGTCCATTAAGGTAGCTATCTGAGCATGATATAGAAGTATCTCTCCACAGCAAGGAGTATGTCTCCTCTGGGGCTAACCACCACTGGTGCTCTCACTGGCAAGCCCCAAACCTGGGCTTTCCAGGGTTAGCTATAGATCCAGTGAAACCAAAGCCCTGCAGGAGACCCTGGGTTTTCCTAGTTGATTTTACCACCATTGCTACCACCATCTAATTTGGTGAGCAAAAAATTCCCCAAAATGAAGATTTGCTGGACTGAAAGACCAGGCCATTCTTCTTCCTCCAGGTGGCCAGTTCTAGTTGGCAGGAACTAGAATCTGCCAGATTGTTCCCTCACTCCACTTAGGATTGTTTTGTGCATAATCTTTACTGCATTATGGTATTGTTCTTACTGTGTTCTTGTATGCTTAAATGGCATTTATTTATTATTTATTTCTATGCTACCCAATAGCCCAAGCTCTCTGGGCAGTTCACAACAATTAATCAAATACAATAAATACAATAAAAATACAAATGCAATAAAACACAGTATAAAATCCCAATGTTCAAATTTAAAATAGTTAAAAATCCAATATTCAAAAATGTAAAACATTTTACCATCTAAAACGTTTCCACCAAAAACCAGATCTAATTAAAATAGCAGGCGTAGCCTATCATATGCAATTATGGGTAGAGAAGGCAATTTTAACTTGGTGCTAAAAAGATGACAATGTTGGCACCAGGTGGGTTTTAAAACAAGATCAGACAAATTCCTGGAAGCTCAATCTAGCAATAATGGTCCTAACTAATAATAACAAGGGCTCTATGCAACCTGTAGCTTCTGAAGCAGTATGCACTGGATGCCAGGTGATGGGGAGCAACAGTGAGGGGCAGTCCTTGCCTCCTGTGAGATTTCTCCACCTGTGGAGCATTCTTTTTGTTCCAGCAGCTGCTTGCTTTGGAGGATCTAAGGATCTCTCTACCACAATTACTCAGGACTCCACAAAGCAACTCTTTTCTACTGCCACCAGTTCTTTTAGGGTGTTTGAAAACCTAGTAGCTTGATCTCAGGTGCTTACATTATAGTCCCATGTATGAGTAGACAGGAAGAAAGTCCTAGAATGCCCAGCATTATGGGGGAATTTGGGGCTTGTGCCCTTTTGGTATTTCTACTGATGAAAGGCTCTTTGATCCAGTTGTATCCTCTATCCGTTATCATTTTTTAAAGTATTGGGATGACTATTACCCCTTAATTTGGCCTCATGTATTTATCCTGAAACCTTTTCTGGTATTTTTCTGAATTTAGATGTTTTATTGGTCTACAGAAAATGTGTCAGCGCTTAGAAGGGAAAATGTGCATGCTTTTTCTTGACAGAACTTCTCCATATTTAATTATTTCTTACAGCTGCTCTAGAATCTGCTCACAAAGATTTAGATGATTATGAGGAAAGCATTCACACTGATGAAAGCATTCACACTGATGAAAGAGGTTCTCTGCAGCCTAGTGTTTCAGCATCTGTTAGCCAAAAAGGTAGTGTACTAACATGGTTCACTCATACAGTCTATAGGAGAGAATGGGGCAGCTCTAAGGCCCTCACCCTTCCCTTTTATTGGCATCTCATACTTTTGAAGAGGGTTGAGGAGCATGTGGCCCCCAAGATACTAGTGTACTATAGTACCCATCAGCCCTAGCCAACAAATGCACTGTTGAAGAATGATGGGAGTTGCAGACAAACAACATCTAGGTGGCCATCCCTGCCTTAGATCATACAAGGCTTCTGGTTGTAATCTTATGAACAGTGGAATACACCCAATGCAGCCCAGTGTGACTTACTTCTGAGTAAACATGGTTAGGATAAGCGAATGAAGCCGACTGCTATTCTGGTGTTTTGGAGCCTAAAGGCAAGAAAGGGAGAGCTGAGCTCAGGACAAGAACTTTTCCAGTGTGAGAGCTGCATCTAGGGCATGGGTCCACAAACTATGGCCCAGGGGCCGGATCCAGCCCACCATGCCCATTTGGACCCACCGTGCGTGCGCCTGCCACCAGCCACCTCACCCCAGGTGCAGGGAAGCAGCAGTTTGCTCGCTCAGAGAAAACAATCACCAAGCAAGCAAGCCGCTGCCTCGTGCACCTGCCTTGCAGCACCTGACCGCCCCCACCCACCCCTTGCCTCCCTTTGCTGTGCGTCCCACCCCCACCTCAGCGCGTGCACCCGCCCACACTGTCCCTGTGCCTGCGCTGGCACGCACCACCGGCACCACCTTTCTGGCCCGCGCCCAGCACCTGCCCCCTTCACCTGGCCCCCTGGTTAAAAAGTTTGAAGACCCCTGATCTAGGCTATGCTCGAGGGCTGGGGGTAGCGTTTGTGTGTGTGTGTGTGTACACATGCTCAACTCCCATCAGTTTGGCTCAATTCTATTCAAGTCTGCTTGGATGAAAGCCTGGGTGAACAAACTTCAGGCATAAAAAACACAGCTCAGTTCTGTGCATGTCTGCTTAGAGATAAACAGAATATGATTCAGGCTAAGGGAAACAGACTTTTAAGCACAAGCTTCCAATTTCCACTGTGTAACCAAGTGATATACCCTGCTGCATGAATACCTTTAAAACATATATCTATTAATATCTTAATAGAAGATTATGTTCATCTTTTTAAAAATATGTATTCTAGTATTAGGTGCTGTAAGAGGGGAAAAAGCAAGAGAAAATATACAGGCTTTTCAATAATGGGAAGATAGAAAATCACTGTCTGCACCAATTAATGAATCCCCTCCCCACACTTTTCTACACTGGTCCTAGGGAGTCATACCATAAAGGAAGAGGATGAAAATGAAGAGATGATCTTATTACAGACTGAAGAACAAACCGGTATTATTGATAGTAGCAGTAAGCATAGTAACTGAAGTGGAAGTGATCTTGGTGGCATTAGAATGTATATATTAGTTGTAGGAGAAAAGTTTGTTTCCACATTTTTATGCCACTTTTGGTGAATAAGCAACCTCTCAAAGCAAAAAGTTCTTTACAGCAATTTACAGTAACTTTAAAAGAAAACATCCATAGAAATACTCATTTGAGATAAAGCCTGCATAAAAGAAATCTTGTATAGAAGCCCTATAAATCCATCAGACTAATGCTAAAACAAATTAAAAATCTGAATAAAAAGGTCCTCATCTAGTGCCAAAAAGAGGACAAGAATCCTGGCCAGGTGAACTTCCCTAGGGGACATATTTTGCAACAGTTGGTGTCTCAGCAGAGAAGGCTGCACCCTGGATTCCTCTCTGCCTAACTTCAAATGACTATGACACCAATGGAAGGGACTCTGATGAGGATCTCAATACTTGGGCATGTTTATGCAGGAAGAGGAAGGGCTTGAAATACTGTAGTCCTAAAATACTTTAAAGAAACAAGGGCAGCTGTCTCAAGATGGGTGAGATGGGTTGCCAGTGTGTGGTGAGCATATATCAGCACCAAAGGGGATTACTGTATTGTATATCCCACAAATATGTATTTCCTACAAACCTCCAGAGAGTTCTTCAACCTTTCCCAACCAAGCTTGAAAAGCAGGTGGTGAGGGAGGGGGAATCACCCCTTTTCCCATTGCACTGATAGAAGCTTCTCATAAGCAAAGCAATAGTTTAATTTTCACTAACTGATTTTTTTTTGTCTTAACAGAATCTTCAACACAGCGAACAGAATTGGAGGTATCTCCTGACCACCCAGAAGTCCAAGAAATGGTACAGAAAGCCATAGAAGCCGCAATGTTGGCCCCAATAATACTGCCACCCGAAGTATATGCTGATGTATTGGAAGAAGTTGTTACAGAGGTAAAACCATCAATATCAATGAAAGATATAAAGAAATCTTTCTATACTCTGCATTTTCATAATTTTTATTTTCATGGATTTTCTATTCAAATTCTCAAAGTTCTAGAACGTATTTACCAAATAATATTATTAGTTAATTAAGTCTGTGATCTAAGATTTGCATACTGTTGAGTGTACATAATCCCTTGCCCCATTATAGTAAAAGCTTAGAATTATTTTTCAGTAGGGAATACTAACTGTTAATCTAAGATACCCATAATGAATGAAGGATAGCTGAAAAATTCTCAGCCTAAGCAAGGAACTTTTAAGCCACCTTTCATATGCAATATCCTTTAAAGCCCTTTAACATTTTAAACCCTCTTTCAGGGTTTAAAAGACCTCCATCCCTCTGTTGTAGAACTGCCACCAAAGGGTGTGCCATGTTATATAACATCTCCAGAGTACATTTTAACCTTTATAATGTCCATTTAAAATACATGGATGGTTTTTAACATTGATATAGATGAAAATTGTCACTCAACTCAAAAATTGTAATAACAAACACATTTATACTTTCCAAAACAATTATTGAACAAGTTTAATATTGCAGCATGTTCAGCATACCCATATATTAATAATATAGTTGCATATATTATACTTTTTCAAGAGAATTTTGCACTATTCAGAGAAGGCAGGATTTTGGTGCAGAGAAATGTTGGAGGTCAGACAACAGTAAAGGAACAAAGAGATGCACAGGCTCCAGTTGTGTGGGTATTTGACATAGCCCCAAGTTGAACAGTCTATTGCCCAAACATTTCTACCAAATTCATTTTGCATAGGGCACCTGAAACAATAGATGTAATAGAATTTTCAGTATGCATGCCTTACCTCTTTTTTGTCAGTGGGTGCCTCTGAGTCCTTCAGGGTGTCTTGGACAAGGTCCTTAAAAGACCTGCAGCTAAGCTCTAGAAACCATGTTAAGGTAAGTGGTAGAGTAAATCAAACTGAAAATCACATGGAAAGATTAATGAGGTACTCAATTGCATTGCAGAAGTTAGCACATGTGTGACATCACCTTTCAGCCAATATCATTTCCCTTGTCACAGGTTGCTTCCACATTAGTGCCATTTAATATTGCTTTCCATTGCTAGCACAAAGTGGGTCTCGGGACATGGAAGACACAGTAGCTCTTCAGGCATTCACTTACCAAGTACATCAAACATACAAGAGGAAGAGAGCTCCAACCCTACCTCTCGCCATCATCACATTGGGTGATGTGTACTTTATTCATGGAGCATGAAAATCTGAAGAAAAATGCCTCCTGTATCTTCAGAGGCTTTTCCATGGTTCTTCCCCTTCTTAGTGGAAAGTGGAATTAAAGTACAAGTTCCATTAACATAATACTATATTGAGCAGTGGTGTCCTTCCCCGTTTTATAATATTCTTTGTTTACCCACAAAAAAGTCTCAGTGAAGGTCCTTTCCAGCGTTGAGTAAAATACTTCTGTTTTCTGGTCCTTTTCACTTTGTTGCTTGCACTGATGATCAAACTTGAAGAATGGTGATGTAGCCTCTTATTTGCTATCTTACACACTGTTATCTAGTAGCAAGCTCCACCAAACACAGTAGGACTTAATTTTGAGTAAGCATGCATTGGATTACATTGCTAAATTTCCTACTCTTGGTTTTCTTAGCCTAATTAGTGGTAAATAGCATTGGCCAATATTCAGTGGTTCATTCAGCAAACTTAAATAACACTAGCAGAGCTCTTCCAAATCTTTCCATTGTGTAAGTGGTTGCTCAATATGCTTGCAGACCAGTTGCAGAAGCAAACACATGACCAGTTGCACTAGAGATTGTATGACTGCAATATAGATTGCATAGATGGTTGCAGAATGGGCTGCATAATTATAATGCATAATCACACATGCACAGGCATAACATTAGTTACATTATCCTCTTGCACATAGTTTGGAACCTAGTTTCTGTTAGGACAACATCATTCGGGGCAATCAAGGAGGAGACTTGAAATTAATATTACTGCAGGTATGATCAATAGGAAGCCAAAGGCAACAAAAACAAGTACTCCACAAAGAATGCCAAGAAGCCAAAAGCAAAGAAGTGTACCAGGCATAATCAGGAAGCAGTAACCTTTGCAGGTTATACAGAACCTGCAAAGATCATTTAATAAAAGGCATGTGAACTGTAATAAACCTCAGCAGCAGTTTATCAGTTCATATCAAACAATTGCAAGAAAACCACAACACAAAAAGCAGTTACTTCAGGTGAAAGAAACAGAAGGACAAAACAGAAAACAGTGGGCTGCAACAATCTGACAACTGTTCTGTCTTGATTCTCTACAGAAGTAAGAGAATAGCAGTTTTGAGAAAAGATTAGTGTGGGAGCAACTCCAGATTATTACAAGTTTGCAACACCATATGTTCCTTCCAATATATAATATACTTTATTAATTAGATTTCTGCTATGAGAATTCTGTTGCTGAAGAAAAATCCATCCAAGTTTGAATAACCAAATTCAAAATGTATCTTTATTCTATATAATTCACCAATAGCTATAAATGTCAAAACATTTAATAAGTTGTTATTAAGTGGATTTTTTTGTTTCAGCTTTATAAAGAAAATAAGAACAGATATGTTGAAGCTGCAGAAAAAGGAGGATGGGTGGTTGATAATTTTCCTCCATCATCAGAGCACTGGGCAGCTTTGTCAGAAAAAGGACTCGTGCCTGATATTGTCATCTGTTTGAAGAATTCTAAACAAAACGGTTGGTGGATATTTTGAAATGATCATGTAAATAGAAATGATATTTGAGCAGTCTTCACAGCTGCATTAGTAGAAGCTAGATGTATTACTCATATTTTCAACATGTCACACATTTTTTCTTCAATGGACAAATTTAACTTAATCCATTGTTTTATGCAAACAATATGTGTGATGTAGAAATAAGTTTGTAATTATGCCCTTACATTTGGTTCCGAACTAAATTTACTGTTTTTTGCAGGAGAAATCACTGCCTTAAAAAACTTGAAAACCAGTCTTCTAAAGAGAGCAGTCACTTCAAAAGCAGTTTACCATTACCATTATATACAGACCCATCCCAAATGTTACATCCTACATTTATGAAGGATTTTTTTAAATTAATGGTATGTAGTTCCCAGAATGTAGTACATAGTAATTCTTTCCTATGCCACTTCAGGAAAGAGTCTAATACATAGACTGTATCTAGCAAATAAAGAAGAAATTGATGCTAAGATTATAAAAAGATTAACAGATGAAGTTTTAAAGAAAAAACAAGAGGAAGAAGAAACAAGGTATTCTTAATTTTTTATATACTGTCATGACTCAAAAATCCAATGTTAGCTTGTACTAAGACTTGTCCACAAGCAGACACTGCAATTATATGCATGTCTACTCAAAGTAAGTGCTATTGTGTTCAATGGGACTTCTCATATAAATTGGCCCCATAGAACTTGGTGGGACTTTATTCTGAGCAAACATGTGTAAAACTGCATTGTGAAACTTAAACAATGGCTCTCTTTAAAACAGAAGGTGAATCACAAGGAAGGTTCAAACTGCTTAATCTGTATTTTGATACTGAACAGTGCTTTCTGTAAAATTCCGACTGTCACTATCATTGCATTATACATCTTATAATTGCAGAAGAGAACTGCAAGAAATGTTGAGATTGCAGGCTGAAGAATTTGCTGAAGAGAGAGGTAAAACAAACATAATCATACAATCTGGAACTGTTTCAGCTTTGGAGTTGATTTTGTGCATTTGAGATGTTATTTAAGCCTTTCGGAACTTCCTCCTGGCTCAGCTCACTTTCCAAGACTGGGACAAGCGTGAGAGAAAGTCTAGGCATGCTGGAGGGACAGATTCTGCTGAGTTTCCCCCCAACCCTAATTGTATGCATACATTTTGAATTGGAATACTCCTTAATATTTACTAATGGATTGTGCTTTTACATTATTTACATCCTTCTTGCAAGTAACAGGTGGTTAGCATAAATGGGCACTCTGTACCTTCTCTGCTAAAAGATTGATAGTACTACACTGGAAGGAAGAAGTCTCGCCCCTTTTCATGTAAAGGATTGAAGACCTTGCAAGAATTTGAACATTTGAATGGGTGGTATATACATGCCACCTGCAACTGGATATTTATTTGGATGTTTGGTCTGCTTTTGATGAAATTTATATACAGGTTGTAGAAACTTCCATTTCACCATGCATTGAAAGTGATATGTTCAAATATCTATAGCTACTTCTTTTTTTTCTTTTCTTTTGTTGAAGATTTACAATAAAAATGCATAGCACAGTAACAAACTCACCTTTGCCACCCACTGTTCTGACTTTGAGAATGATCAGGTTCCAGCCTGTCAATTCAGGGACCCTGAGGAGCAGGGTGGCTGTCCAAATTTGTCCTAAATAGGCAGGGATTGAGTTCCAGAGCAATAAACAGCAGAGGACCAGAAGCAGGAGTACAATTGAAATCCATCACGTCTCAAGATCCAAAACAAGAACCAGAAGATTAGGGTGGGCAAAAGCTGATGCATATTCAAAGCTATCCAGGAGGTAAAATCTATGACAACAACCAGAAAAAAGGTGCAGGAGCTTAAGCAGTGTCTTCACATCAGAAACAGTATGTTTGGACTGAGAACAAACAATGAGAGTAAGTCTTTCTATGGTGCACAGGAACTGGCACTTGACAAAGGATTTAGACTTCTCCCTCCATTGCTTCTGACAAGATGCTGCACCTAATTCTGGCCCTCTGATGAATATATCTGCATCTGATATTTTTAGGCACATTAACACACTGCAAAGGGCCATAGCTAATTTCACCACCCTAGCACATGTATCTGTAAGATTCACGTTGTCAGGAACATGTACTTGCCTCGTGCTATTTAGCTTTACGCTTACATGTAAAAATGTTTGTGTACACATTGAAATGTTTCACATGAAACAGCTGTGAGGTAAGTAACATTTAGCATGTGCTTCTTGAATCGTTAAGTAAATGGGCATTATGCCTAGGTTGGAAATCACATGCTTTCAAAAGAAAAAAATATAAGTTTGTAAATAGCTGATGATAGGAGCAAACCAATGCTTTGACAAGACTAAGATATCAAATAACACAGGAGGAATAATCTGTGGCCCATGGTCTAATTTCAAAAATCCTCAGCAAGCAATCAGTTCAGATCTGTGGCAAGAGCAATCAGTTGCCTTCCAGACAGCTTCAGGAAGCTGCAGGGCAGGAAGGAAGAGAGAGAAGGGGTGCTGCTTTACCATCCACTTTTTCTCTCTATACCTGCCCATGACTGGCATGCAGCCCTCAAAAGGTTCTGCAGCCAGCAACTTTAAAAAATGGTTTACCACTCTGGATAAAGGCTCTGCTGTCATGAAAGTTTCTCTTGTATATGTGTATCTTGGTATCTATCCATCTGTGTCCCTTTTACACAGTCATCCATAGTCTCATCTGAAGATCCAAAATGTTTTGTGAATGCTACTTTTTCTTCTGTCTACAGAATCCCTGGACCTTCTAGAGCAGCCATCTGCTTCTGAATCAGGCCAAATGATACAACATACAGATCCTGATATGTCTAAAGAAAAGGAAAAATTTGGAGGTTGGATTTTTGTAGAATGTGGTTATCCATTTCCCTAGAAAAGAAATACTGTGCTCTTTCATTTTATTCGTTTCTTGTTAGTTTTGAAATAAGGAATAAGGAAAGGAAATAATAATTACGTTAAAGATTTGCACAAAATTGCTTTTTGTCTAGCAATTGAACTACTTTCCAGATTAGTATGAGGATCAATATGCTGTTACCCTTCAGATTATGTGTTTTTTCAAATTATATACTGAAAATCTCAGTTCAAAAATGGTGTTAAATGCATCTCTTGGTGAAAATGCATACAAAGTTTCTTCTATTCAGGGTAAATTATATACAGAATATACATTTTAGGGAAAATTGTGTGCAAAATGGTGCTATGGGGAATATGGCTACAATATAAAAGCAAATTTCCATTTTTAAAAAAGCAGAAAACAGGATGAAACAGACTTATGATTGTTGTTGTTGTTAGTTGTGAAGTCGTGTCCCACCCATCGCAACCTCATGGACAACATTCCTCCAGGCCTTCCAGTCCTCCACCATCCCCTGGAGTCCACTTAAGCTCACGCCAACTGCTTCTGTGACTCCGTCTAGCCACCTCATTCTCTGCCATTCCCTTCTTCCTTTGCCTTCAATTGTTCCCAGCATTAGGCTCTTCTCCAGGGAGTCCTTCCTTCTCATTAGGTGGCCAAAGTATTTGAGTTTCATCTTCAGTATCTGGCCTTCTAAAGAGCAGTCAGGGTTGGTCTCCTCTAGGACTGACTGGTTTGATCACCTTGCACTCCAAGGGACTCACAGGAGCCTCCTCCAGCACCGCAATTCAAAGACCTCAGTTCTTCGGAGCTCAGCCTTCCTTATGGTCCAACTTTCGCAGCCATACATTGCAACTGGGAAAACCATAGCCTTGACTATATGCACTTTTGTCAGCAGGGTGATGTCTCTGTTTTTTAGTTTGCTGTCTAGATTTGCCATAGCTTTCTTCCCAAGGAGCAAGCGTCTTTTAATTCTTGGCTGCAGTCCCTGTCTGCGGTGAACTTGGAGCCCAGAAAAATAAAATCTGTCACTACTTCCATTTCTTCCCCATCTATTTGCCAGGAAGTGATAGAACCGGATGCCATAATCTTAGTTTTCCAAATGTTGAGTTTCAGGCCAAGTTTTGCGCTCTCCTCCTTCACCCGCATCAAGAGGCTCTTTAGTTGCTCTTCACTTTCTGCCATTAGAGTGGTATCATCTGCATATCTGAGGTTGTTATTTCTCCCAGCAATCTTAATTCCAACTTGTGATTCAGACTGATGATTGAACATGTGCAAAACAGATATGGACTATAAGCAGACTGATCAATCCCTACTAATTATATGGCTTTCTGTAGCTCAGTTCAGACATTAAGGACACAGTAATATCCTTCATTAGAAGAAGACCAGGCCCAAACAGTAGAATTGTACACATTCAGTAAAATAGTAGAATTTTGCTGTAACTGGCCCAAAGAACTTCATCTATTGAGTGATATAGAAATAAAAATCCAACATCACATAAATGATGTTCCATGCAAGCTGGTAGACTACATATGAATTGTAGGCCTAATTTGCCCCAGCTATGTGCTCCTTCCTCTGGTTGAAAAAGCACAGATGGCGCAGTGCCTACATGTATATGTATCAGATACTGCTTGTAAAAGAAAGAAAGGCATTTAATACAGGCTCAAAGTTATGAATCAGTCCTATAATACAAAACTGAAACTATCAGAGGCCAACCTATCTCCAGCTGTAGCTAGAACTGCAGTGCAGGTGTAAGTTTGAATCACAGTGAAGACAACAGCATCCCTCCACATGGCAAGTGCACTGTCTGCACACTTTGTCTTGGCTCTAAATAAATGAGACCATGCTTAGAGTTCCTTGGAACTACCATATAATGGCTTTACCTTGTCTGCTTGTTTGTTTCATTGTGGATGGATAGAATCATAATTAGAAAATGCCAGTTTATATTAACTGAATCTTTTGGTATGTCCCATGACAGAATCAGTACCATCTGACAGTCAACTTGATGAAGCACAGGTGTCTATGGATTTCGAAGAGCATCAAGAGTCTAAGACAAGTAAGATACTATACTTACATAACATTTTTATTTCTTTGTGAGAAAATAATGTGCTTCATCTCACAGATAATTGCAAGGGAGTATTTTTTATTGTTCTTTGTAAAATTTAGGTCTTATGATCTGGAACTAGTTTATAGAATACTTGCATTTTGTTTTAAGTGGCCTCAGTGAAAAACACATTTGGAGCTCACAGTGTTGGACTTTGTGCTAGAATTTACCAGAAAAACTCCTTCTAGTGGTGTTGTGTTGTGTTTTGTATAGGATACAGCTGACATCAAGGCAATATGCATCCTTAGAAGAGATATACAGAGGGACTGGGTGTGCATGAGCCACAGTGGGTTGTGAGTCTTGTTAGTGTCAGCATGGCTTACTGTGAAATATGAACCCAATGTGGACAATTCAGCATGGTTTGTTAGCCACGCACAAGTCAATAATATAATCCATTATCAGTCTCCCAGTATATTACCTACTTTTGGTCTTTTTTTCTCTTGGCAGCTGTTATATACATGGGAATGGACAAGGTGAAACTACACATAGTAGAAAGGAGAATAGGCACAGTTGTGAAAGACCAGGAAAAAGATTATTAAAAGATTATGATTCTAGTTTGCATATCTCCAAAGCACCAGTATATTTCTGGTAAATGGTGTGCCTAAATTGAATGCTCTGAAATGAGCAGAGAGGGCCCTGGGAAAGCTTCCTGATGTATACAAGAAGGGTCATGAGAGGGGTTGCCATCCAAAGACCACTGGGATATTTGCAGGGAGCAGGCTGGAGGATTAGAGAGGAAAGAAGCCCCTTTCAGCCTCCATGTACCTAGTCATTTGTCAGGAGTAATATAAATTGTTCAGTGAGTGATAATTGCACCATGACTTGTTCTCAATAAAACAAAATGTTTTCTTCATTTTATCTTCTAAGATGTGTACTATGTCCCTAAAAGCATGCCAGTTGGAGCAAGCCGCTGGATAGTTTACTCATTGTTCATTTATGTTTCCTTTCTTTTTTAAAGTTATAGTTGCCTAGTTGTAGAACTGATTCACTCAGTGTCTTTTAGTGCTTTAGAAGGCTATTGTGAAACATTACTCTTATTGAAATGTTCGCCAGGGCTACAGAGCAAAGAGCATATCAAACTTTATATAGGATAGGTTTCAATGGGCTCTCCAGTCCCTACACAGAGGGTTGATTGCTACTGCTATCACCATCATCATCATCATCATCATCATCATCATCATCATCTAGATGTATATTTATCCTGCTCTTTGGCTAAAAGAAGGCATTTAGGGCAGCTTTACAAAGGCAGCTCTTGCCTTTAGGCTTACACTTTTAAAAAACATAACACAAAAGGATAGGGGATGGGAGACAGGAGGGAAAATGCACACACTAAAATGATTTGAATCTAACACTCTCACAATACAGCTGACATTCACACACTCAACTCTTTGGATGCAACACATGGCTGCCACCCCTTCCATTCATTAGGCTGCTAGCCAATGTTTGGGTCTGGGCCCTGATCTGCTGCTCAGAGAGAATAGGCAGAAGCTGCTTCTTGCCTATGGCCCCTATCATTCAGTTGCCCGTTGAAGCAAGATCTAGATCCTCTAGATCTAGGCAGGAGTGGGAGGTCTGTGGGCAGGAAAAGGAGAATAAAGCTGAGGGACGTTTATCCATCCAAAATGTCTCAGTCTTGATCACAAGCAGCAGTGGTTACTACTGTTACACTTGAACAGCAGCTGATCAGGGATCAGCACTGATAGACCTTCTGAGGCTCAAGGGTAAAGGCACATTTCCATGAGCCAAACCCTCTTGGGGTCTCAGTCCTGTTCTCTGGGATTTCTCAGATGATCGTATTCTCTTCCCCTGGTCCCAACCTGTTTCAGCCTACTGCTAGTTGTTGGCTATTTTTCTGTCTTTTGCACAGGCTAGGTTGAGATGCCTCACCTAAAGCTTAGTTGTTGGAAGTAAAAGCTTTAAGCTGAAATATGCAGGTATTTTGTGTGTTTTTGGCCCTACTTCTTTGGCTCTGCCAGTCACTGGAAGGTGGCCTTCAAGGGCTTCTCCAAAATTGAATTGGATCCTCATGTTGAAAGAGTTTCCTTGCCCTTGCTCTGAAGCCTCAGCAGCTACTTACTGCTGCTAGACTTTGGTGAATATTTGGAGCATCACCATCCAGTCGTGTTATTCTGCAAACCCAGATAGCATCAGTGGAGTTCTGCCACATCTGTTTGTTAAACAAGCAGTTGTGCATTACCCTTGTACAACCCATTGTGCAAGCAGTTGCACAAATGTAACTAGTTCAATGGTTAGATTGGAATCAGTCTCTGCTAGTGTAGCATCACTTGTGCTAAAAGCATAACAGGCACAGGCATAACATAGCTGGACTGTCCTCAGATATATTTTCAAAATATATCGCATATACAAGGAAGAATAAGAACAGATTTTAAAATGAACACTTGAAATTCTGTCTTTAAATTGTCAGTGTGAAACATAAGCACCCCAAAATCTCTCACAAAACAAAGCCAAGTTTTTCTTTCCAAATTTAAGGTAGCCACAGCAGATTCTGACAACATTTTTTAAAGCTGTTTTCCCATGTACACTTTGGGGCTATCCACCTTTTCCTTAACCTTGCATTTGTATTTTAAAATATTGTATCTTTGTGCCAGCTTCCTTTAGATTTTGAAATCTTTTGGAAGTTTTCATATAAACTCTTGTAAAAACCATCATTCTCTGCATATTCCTTTAGAATCAAAAGAACACCTTGAAATTGAAGAAAAAGTTGAGTCACTACCTGAACTGCCAGGAAGTATTCCATCTGAACTAGGTTAGATATTATGTTACTTTCCTTCCTTCTGTTCATTATACTTAACCATACAATGAAATATAGCTACACTGCTGCATTTTAATTCTAATTATGCACATTACTTTCTTTCTTGAACAGGGTAAGGCTTTGGTTTATGGTTAGGCTTAGCTCTGCCTTGGAATTGGCTTGCTATGTAATTAAATAGCAACATGCAAGTTTAATGAAGTAGCTCTGTTCTTTTAGTTATGTATGTATGTATGTATTTATTTATTTATTGGAGAGTATCAGTGAACAACAGACAAAACTGTAAATCTGGCAGTTGGAAAATGTCTTCTAAGACTTCTAAGAGTTTTACAAAAAGAAAGAAAGAAAACATTGTTAAACTTTAAAAAACCGTTTGATTTGAAGAAAGTATCTGTAACTATCAGCCAATATGAAGCGAAGTGATTAGCTGAATGACCTATTTACAAGTGGCACTTGTGACAAAACTTTTCTGTGGAGTGCTCCAGTTTAGTGTTCGGTCAGTCATGTCCTCTTCCAGGATACCCCATTCCATTCCCACCCACCTGATTTTCTCTTATGTTTACCTCAGTGGTATTCTTTCAGTGCTGAATACATTCAATTTTCATTGGACTTTTTGTGGGGTTCCTTTCTTTAAACATTTTTACCAGATTGTTTGTGCCTTTGTACATTTTGGAACTTCTCCAGTCTTACAGATATCCTTCTTGTGTATGTCTATGTCAGAGGAGCATTTTGGCCATAATGGTGCTAGCTCAAAAGCCTGATCTTTAGAACTAGAAGGAATGTTTATACCTCATAAAGTTTAAACTGTTTTCTAAAATGCAGTTTGATATGTTCAGGAATCAAGCTTCCTGAGTATCCTGAAGATGGCTTCCCAGATGTCCCAGAAATAGACCCAATTAAAACCAAGATTAACCAATTCATGAGTAACTGGCAAAAAATGGAGGCAGCAATAACAGAGATGCCTTTAGTTGCAACTGCTGAATTAGAGACTGACGGACAAACTCCAGAAATGCTGCTTAACCAGAGTGTTCTAGCTATGGAACGTAAGTAATTTTCTGTACTGTTTCTTATTTTTCTTTTGGACCAGAAGATTTTGAGTAAAGAGGATTTTTTAAAATGTCCTAGGTGAACAGTGATATTAGTCCATAAAAATATGAATGGACTTAAGAGGATAGTTTCATTATTTCATCATAAAATGTTGCTTTAGGGCAAACTTGAACAACCTGTGAGCTGCTTCTGGAGGCACAATGAGCATCTGTGATTGCTGCCTGCCTGCATCTTCAAATAGTGGGTTATCAACAGTTCCATATATACCATGCACCAATACATACTGTATAGAAAATGGGGAAAATAAAACATAAAAAACCCATGTGTGTGCATGCAATCAGCAAAATTGGATGTCTTTTTCTCAGAGTATCTGCATGAATATGCACAGTATCCAACAATGCCATTGTGCAAATTCAAGCTATATTAATGGAACACCACTGAAACATTATGTTGCCCAAGCAGTTGTGCAATTTTTTTTCTTTTTATGACCTTTTCCCTCTATTTCAACAAAATAAATGAAAAGGAAAGAAAAAAAAACCTGTGGCTACATATATTTGCATTTCAGTGCATGCATATTAAATCTAACTTGATGAGCTGCTGAAATCAGTGGGACATGAATGTATAATTGCACATTTGGGGTCAGGTTTTGCTGCAGCTCAAATTATATGCATCATGAGCCATTGATTTCTTGCAGTATGGTGCATTATCCATACGGTACCATTTTTCAAGGCAAGTATTTGTCATGATTCATCTCTGATCTTGTATGCTTCTGTTTTTAAGAAAAAATTAAAGCCCGAAAGTTGACTATCTCTGACAGAACCTTTTAAGTATCATGGTTGGGAAATCTGTCCTGAAGATGAGGATGAAGAACAAGAAGACTTACAGACAGAAGCATTGGCAGAAGAAGAGGAGGAGGAGGAGGAAGATGAAGAGGAGGAGGAGGAAGAAGAGGTAAGTAACAACCTGATTTTGATAGTGCCTTTAGTTGTAATTTTTCACAGTCAGAGGCCAAGAAAAATTACCTTCTTGGGCCCTTGAGCACTCCTCATTACACTGTGGCATCCCTCTTTACCCCAGTTCTTGAACCTGTTTTAGAGGTTAGAAGCTGATGTCATAAGTAAGACAAAGTCTGTCTTCATAAGGCAGCTACAGCTTGCCAATAGGAGCAACTTCCTTGAGAGGCTTTAGCCTAAGTGCTAGGGCATAGGTTGGGTAGGAAGAACTCCTACCTGGAACTCTGTAAAGCTGCTGCCAATCAGTGTTGACAGTACTGGGCTAGATGGGCCAATGGCATCTCAGGACGGCTTACAATCATTAAAACAACACAATACAACAGCAATAAATAACAATTAAACAAAAAATACAATTAAATAAGTTAAATAAAAGCAACTGTTAAACATTCACATTTTAAATTAGTTTTAAATAACAGTTAAATAAAAAGATAGCATGTTCCTGATGATATGTTCACATTTTCATGCAAATAGATAGTAGTAAATACTCTACTATTTGCTGAATGCAGAATTTGTCCTTTTAAACTATTTCAGTTTGCCACTTTGGCCAAAAGAAGCCTGGAATGCCTAAGTGCTTTAACTGTGTTTTTAAGTACTGGATTTTAGAAGATTTGCATCTATTACTGGTCACCTTCTTGGAATTACTTTACATCATCACAATCCAGTGACAGCAATCCCCAATTTCCCAGACACTGATCTACTCTTCCAAGAATGCAAAGACCATTCTTGCAGGAACCTGAGAATGAGCAACAGGGGTATTTATTCAGACAACACTCCTTGCTCTTGAGTGGAAAGAGGGAGTGGCTGAGAAGTGGTTAGCTGGCTCAGTTGATGCACCATCTTATTCCCACCCCCATCTTCAGCCTGTTTACAGGTGGTCAGCTGTCAAAGCTGACAACACAGATCACATCCTAGGTGCAGAAAAGTTTCCTTAAGTAAAGCAGTGAAAAAGAAGCTGGTTATTGTGCTGGATTCCCATATACATCAAAATAAAAATCCTTTTCTATTTTAAGGATGAACAAAAGGCGACTGAGAGGAAAAGACACATGGGAGATACAAAGCACTTTTGTCCAGTGATTCTGAAAGAAAACTTTATCCTTTACCCAGGAGTTTCTGAAAATGGAGCAAAATACCGAGAAAAATATTATTATTTCTCAACTCCAGAAAATAGAGATAAATTTCTGGAAAACCCTGAAGAGTATGTGTCTCACAATGAGCCCTTAAAAGTATGCAACATTTTCAAAATCTTTTATATGTTTTTATTGCAGATTAAATTTGATTGTAATTGGAATATAATTTTAACCAGAAAAGAATTTAATAACATTTCTGCTTTCCTAAAAGAGTGGCACTCTTTCTTCTTTATCTGTGAAACTGCAAAGAACATTTATCTTTTTCATAAGCTTACAGGATGCACATCCTATAAGCTTGTGAAAGTTGTTCCAACACTGGAATTTTCTTAGCTAATTTGCCATTTGCAAAATGAATATCTATTCAAAATGTCTAGGAAAAGATGTGCAATATCATGTTGCTAATTGCTGCAGAATTAAATATTAGCAATACCTTTGTTCAGTTGGGGACATGTGCTTTAATCCATGCAAAACCACTCAGTACAGAAAGTATCAGCATCCAACACACCCTGGCAACTACCAGGGATAAAGCTTCCTGTCAACCTCCAATGATGTTTTGATTTGAGGAGCCTGTTTTGACCTGCTCATACTTTGCAGCCATATTTTGTCTCAACTGAGTCTAGGAAACTACCCAACATTTTAAATTTCCCAGTGTTCCAGAGGGGGTGACAAAATTGCTCCAGAGCATTGCAGAATATTAAAATGATAACCAGCTTCCCAGATCCAGCCACCAACCCAAGGTGCACCCACAGCTGATGGAGGTCATAAATCCAGACAGCACTTTGGGCCACAGCAGGCTTTGGGCTGTGAGTAGCCATTGCCAAAAGTAGACTTGGAACACAATATCTTACACAGGATCTGGAGAGAGATGCTAGGGCAAAAGCAGAATGCCCCACTCTTTGTATTTATATTAAGCTTAACCTGTAAGAGGCTTCAGGCTGGCTGCCAGTAACAGAACCACTCAACCCTTCTAGGCCTAAAGAGTGCTCTAGGTAGCTTACTAAGCTTGGGCACGGCCTCCAGTCCTATATTAGCTCACCTGTGTGAACCTGAAACATATCCTCTAGGTCTATGAGAAACAGTGTGATGTAGTGATTGGAGTGTTGGTCTAGGACTGGTGAGACCTGTGTTCTAGTCCACACTCTGTCATGAAGCTCATTGGCTAACTTAGGGCCAGTCACTGACTTTCAGCCCGACCAACTTCACAAGGTTTAGTATAAGAATAAAATAGAGAGGACAAAGATCATGCATGCTTGGAAGAGATGAGATTGTTGTTCGGTCACAAAGTCACGTCGACTCTTTGCGACCCCTTTGCAACACCCACATCTCCAGTGACCCCATCCAGCTACCTCAACCTCTGCTGCCCCCTTCTCCTTTTGCCTTCAATCATTCCCAGCATTAGAGTCTTTTCCAGTGAGTCCTTACTTCTCATTAGGTGGCCAAAGTATTTGAGCTTCAAAGATGGGATATAGATGCACAAACAAGAAGGAGATACCTATTTATCTCCTGTGTATTTGTTATATTTATATCCTGTATTTCCACTAATGAGCCCAAGACTATGCATATAATCTTTCATGCACCATTAGACTGCATAAAATAATAGCTGTGATTGTGATATTATGACTCACGATTCAGTTTAAATATGTTATTAAATATTATTCTTTATTAACTCATTTTTACTAAGGAAAAGGATGTGGGATTAGGTTGAAAGGGAGAATGCTAATTACAATGGCAGGGACAAATCAGATTTCATTTTTGTCATCAGTGTTGCATGCTGGCAGATGATAGTGAGAGCTGCTTTTGAGAAGTCTGTATAGTTGTACCCTACAAAATATCTTGGGCATTTGAACAAAGTGTTGCTGTACAATTAAGTTTTAGCAACGGCTGTGTTTAGGTGAACACAAGTGCTTTAATTCATAGCAAAACCTCACTTATTCAGCAGAAGCTTAATCATTTAAAATCCAAACAAATATATCATCATTTTCTTTTCTAGGCTCCCCCTGTAAGGATATGCCTCATAGGACCACATGGAGCAGGTAAAACAGTCTGTGCTCGATGGTTAGCAGACAAACTAGGCATTTTCCATATTCAGTTTGAAGAACGCTTACAGGAATTGATCATGATCAAAACGGGAAGGAGAATTAGTCCAGAAGATGAAGATGAAGAAGATGCCTCAGCTGTGATGCCAGAAATGGGAGAGTCTGTTCCAACTATTCCTGACAGTTCAACTGAAATTGAACTTGAGAGTGAAGAGGATAGTAAGCGAACTCAAGAGGTGACAGTATAACTCCATTCCTTTATAACTTTCAAAGAGAGAGCTAGAGATTAAGAGCCAGTTTATATAGTGTGAGATCCAAAGTTGCCTGTCCAACAGCAGAATGGATTCCCCATCCCACTGCAGCCTCTGCAGCTGATCCCCAGGCTGCTTTGTTCATTCATGGAAGGGACTGCATTCCATTGGAGGCTTCTGCAAATGGAGGGAGGCTCCTGCTGTCCTCCCTCCCATGATGCTCTGCAGGATCTCCCAAGCATCCAGAGCTTTGAGGCCTCAAGGGTTCTGCATAGAAAGGGGAATATGAAACATGGTCACTTTCTCATTTCATGAGTGGGAGTATTCCGTGAATAGCACTCTACATACAGCTATCTGGATCCAATCCATTGTGTTTCAAATGATACAAAACAGGTGATCCTTGGTGTTTGATCTGGAATGCTTAATTCTCATATGTGAGTTATTACTTGATAGTACGGTCATCAAATTATGAATGTGTATGTGTCAACCAGCCCTTGGACCCAGTACAAAAGAAACATTTGGCAGAATGAAGAAATTAATTTGCTTCCTCCATGTGTCCACACTTGTTAAAGGGATCTGATTTTGGTTTTGATGAGAACTTAATGAAAAACTAATCAGTTGGTTGAAACAGTTTTAGATTTTCTTCTGCTACAAAAAGTTTTAAAAGTAATTTTCTTGTTTATACCTGAAAACTAGACTGGATTTTCTCTATGTGTACATCTGCCCCATAATGTTTCTCTTGGAAAAGTGAAATTAATATAGTCCATTTCTTTTTTTATTTAAACACTGTTAACTATTTTGTCTTTACAGGAAGCCACTACATAAAGAGGATGAATGGTGCATAATCCCTTAAATTAAAGTTTTAAACTGTGTTGCTATTTGTCAGACTAAAGGGAGATCTGATTTTTACATGTGTTTTTGGATCATTTTAACAGAAAGAAACAATGTTAACAGATGAAGAAGAAGCAATCAAAGCAAATATATTAGATAATGAATCCTTCCCTATGGAGGTGCTTGACGGTATTGTTCTTGAATGGTGGATGAAGGAACCATTTCGGTAATTCACGTATCTAAAATTATCTTACTTTTTAAAAAAATCCCTATAAATTTCAGGCTGTAGATGTTTACATGTTTTCCTGGGATTAAATTTCATTGGATACATAAGAGTAGTATCATACTGCCGGTGTTCTAGCTCCAACATACCATGTAGAGTACCTCTTCCCAATCTGAAAGTCTTTAGAAGGACCTAGCCTCACCAATCTCTCTTCTTTGGGTGAGTCTGACCCTCTTAAAGATCTTCACACATCCACGTTGCCATTACAGCTTGTTATGCAGCAGCCCAGTCTTTGCATGTAAGTACAGCACCCCTGTCCCCCAGATCTGCTGTTTCAGTTACCATGGTTTCACTTAAAGGTAGTTAACTGCAATCCAAAAAATTAAACAGAAAATTCCAGAACTATAATAAACATCCATAATTTAAATTATGTGCCATTCTGAGTAGTGTGATGAAATCTTGTGCGGTTCCAGGGGAGCTCATCATGTATCACACCATGAACCTTACGTGCAGCTCCACACCTGGTCCTGAGTTTGGCGCCCATCCTGCTGTCACCAGGGGGTGGCACGCTGTTCTGGGTTGGCTGTGGTGGTGACCAAGAAGGGGAGCATTCCCCACATAGCTGTCTGGGCAGCAGTAGGCCACAAAATGCCACAAAAACAAAACTTAATTATTGATGGCAAACCCACAAATAATCAAATTACAAAAGTTAAACATACAAGTCATGCTTTGACTGTATAGTCTTTGCTAACATCCATGGCTTCAAGCTTGGAACCTATCCCCTGTAGACACGGGGGTCCTATTGTGTACTCTGTATTAGGGCAGAGTATACGACAGACTTTAGGATTACAGGATCAACTTTTGTTTGTTTGTTTTACTTTAACCCCCAAAGCTATTAACTGACACCAGAGAAAAAGTAGTGGGAGAGCTAGAGGCAAAATTGTAGAGGCAAAAGACGCTTGAAGGGGATGGGTTAGAAAAGCTTTTAATAATCAATCAATCAATCAATCAAAATGGAGGGTTTAGTTGTAGAGTCAGTTATCTATTATAGTCCATGAGCTATATAATAGGCTGATTTTCATATGTAAAAATATATCTGCAAATCATCTGATAATCTTCCAATAGGTCTTGCTCTTCTTTCTGCCCACTCCTATTCTGTTTATTTATTACAATGTTTCCAGTCTGCCTTATTTCCATATATCTTAGGGCAGGATATAGTAATGCAAATGATGCTATATAAAAATGTAATCCATCACACTCATCAAGGGTATATAATTAACCCACACAGATCTACTGTCAGTAATCCCCCAAAGTCTAGATAAAGAATGAGTACTTAACTTGATAGCAAAATGTGGCCTGTGTCAATATCAGCTGGGCTTTCAAGAGGAGTAGGTTCCATAACTTGGACACCAAAGCCAAGAAGGTCTTGTCTTACATCTCCATATAACATGCTACTCCCAAAGGCTGTGTGCAGAGGAGAGTCTCCTCAGCAGATCCTATACTTGAGCAGGTGTGTACATGAAGAAGCAGTCCCCACAAATATTGAGGTCCCAAGTTGATTCAGGCTTTAAATATCATGGTTATTGATACCCTGAACATGGACCAGAAGTGTACTGGCAGCCATTGAAGTTCCTTTAAAACTATTGCTGTATGATACTTGTAAGTTATCCCTGACAGCAGTCTAACAGCTACATTCTGGACTAACTGTCACTTCTGTGTCCTCAACCGCAGTCCCACATGGAGCACATTGTAGTACTCTAAGCAAAGTTACCAGTGCATGAACCGCTGAGGCCAGATTATCCCTTTCCGGGTATGGTTGCAGCTGGCAGGCCATGAAGCTGGCCAATAGCACTCTGCCTGATCCTCCAGTGACAAAGATAAATGTAAGAATGTTTCCAAGCTAGATACCCACACCTTATGGAGGAGCATAATCCCATCCAGGGCAGGTTACCTACTCAGCTTTTATTCATACATTAGTGTAATTCTCCATGGCCATGATGCAAAGTAGCTTTGAAGATTTGAGCTTCTCTTTCTCAAATTTCAACACAAAAAGTGCTTTAGAAATTTTCTTCCTCAAGATATGTTGTGGGGTTGTGACAAGAAAAGTGTTGGCAATCCTTTGGCTGTGCCTAAAATAGATCTTGGTCTTTGTATGAGCTATGAAGCTGCATAATATTCACTAAACCCTTCTGCTGAAAAATACAACAGTGCTCTCAGCAAATGAATTTCTGCTGCATTATCACAAGCACGTACTTAGTAAGCCTCTTAAATATAACCCTAACTCATATTGTAAAGTAGCAAAATAGAATAAATTACTCAGTTTCTGGATTTGGTACCACTACCTACATTGACTAACATAGTACTTTGCCTCATCTTTGCAATTTTGGAGGATTTCTATTGCACAGAAGTAATTTACTTTTTTAAAAATCCTAAACATTTGCCCTATCCAGCCAGGCCCATTTCTTGCCCACTAGAGGGAATGGTATTTTTGTTATTCAGTGTCTGCATGGAGGAGGGATCTGTGAAACAAATAGAAAACATAGTTTTTCTACTATTGTTTTCATTTAGATCTACAGGTTTTGTCCTAGATGGCTTTCCCCGAACTGGTGAAGAGACTCAGTATTTAGCAGACCGCTTACTTTGCCCCGATATTGCAGTCTTTCTTGAAGCTGATGAAGATGACATTTCTGAACGACTTCTTCCCACAAGGGTGCAAAAATGGCAAGAGAAACAAGCTAAAAAAATGGAGAGAAAGCAACAGCTGAAAGAATTGAAGGCAACATTAAGAGTAAGTTTTGCTATTTGTTAAGGCTTTAAAAAGCTAGCTACTATACAATGGATTAAAAAAAGGCAACAGCCCTGCTGTTCAGGCTTATAATCTAAAACCAGTACGTTAGGAATTTTAAAGAAAGGTGAATCACTGTGGTATAATAACTTTTTACAGTCAATATATTAGTTTAGCTAGTCCTAAAATAGCACTAAACAATAGATGAGCAAATCTGAAGGCATTCCTGTATCATAACTATTCTACTTCAGCAGTATTCTGGCTTCTAGAACTAACATTAAAGAAATGGGGCATAGTTGACACTCCTCACCTGACTTTAACAAAACTGCAATAAGTGCATTCAAACTCCCCATCAAGTATGGAGTCTTCTGTGAACACAGGTTGCCGTATGAATCCTGTGCACATTTGCCAGGACTAGCAACAGGGGTAAGCTGCCAAGACCTCACATCCAGTAGAGACCCACTAACAAGATCCCCTTTGACTTGCTATTCCTTGTCACTATTGCAATCTGCCTGCTTACCTGCCTCTCACTCTGGCCCAGATGATGGAGGTGAGGAAAAGGAGGAGAAGCCACCTTGCTCACTAGTTCTCTGCCTATCAGGTGGGCAAGTGCCAACAACCATGAGAAAGAGGATGAGGAGCAAGACCAGCTGTTGACAATGGCAATGAGAATGTAGACTCAGTGAAGGGACTTGCTCATTAAGGTTGTCCTGCCCATGGGCCCCCAAAAACCTGGAGCTGACATTAGTTGGAAGTAAAGCCTGTTAAGTTCAATGGAACTTACTTCTAGGTAACTGTATAGAGGATTATATTTGTAGGTCAAAATAAAGACCTAGACGTACATGCCTCTCTTATAATCAACAAAAGGAATAAGGTTTAGACAAGTTACTATTTATTACATTTATAGACCAATGCAAGTGCTGTGGATGATCATAACTCTTGGGACATTCTATAGCTGACACTGATGAATAATTGCTTGCCTTGTTCAACATTAAGATGATACACAATGATGTCAAGTGTCGATATAAAATATGCACTCTAAGGTCTTTTATTAACAGGAAGAGCTGATTGCCAAGAGAAGAGGAGAGCTTCTTGCAGAGCAAGCCAAAAAGAAAGCAGAGGTAAGAAAGATATAAGTAAAAATATTACATTTATTAAATCCTATTTTAAAGAATTAGATCACTTTATCTGGGATTTTATAAAATTATTTCAACATAATATTTTTATGCTTTTGTTTTATTTTATTATATTTATACTCTGCCTTTTTTCCTACAAAGAGTTCAAGGCAGTTACATCTCCTCCTCCATCTTATCTCCACAAGAACCTTGTGAGGAGGGTTGGGCTGAGAGTCTGTGACTGGCCCAAAGTCACCCAGTGAGCTCCATGGCTGAGCAGGGACTAGAACCTAGAACAACTGAGTCCCAGTCCCACACTCTTAACCACTACACCATACTGGCTCTAGTTGTGTTGTAACTAAATATTGAGAATTTTATTTTTAATTGTATACAAAATATTATTTATTATTTAAATATTTAAATAATATATTTATTTAATATATTATTATAATATATTATTTTAGCTTAAACTTTAAAGCTAAAGAACAAAGAACCTAGATACCTGACATTAAAAAAGGAGTGAGCTGAGTACAGACCTCCCTTGCCCTTCACTGCTGTTGATGACGCACACAAACACTGGAAAATTACTCAACAAATACAATGATAATACTATGCATCATTAGCACCATCTTTATCTAGGTATGTTCTGAATGCAATATTGTTGCAATCTTGTATAAGACATGCCTATAAAAGATGGTGCTGATAGTTTGTTTATTCATATCTATGATAAAATGGCACAAAGGCTGTGGATTTATATCAATACCTTATTTACTGGAGAGACAAATGAGTTACAGTGACCCACTGTTGGAAGTTTTTCCACCCCTGCTATTCCTTCTTGTTGTGAGTGCTGTAAAAACCATAAGGGAAGTCATGCTGGAAGTCAAGGCTCTTTCTAATTCAGCATTCTGTTTGTGCAGTGGCCAGCCCACCTGCCCACAGAAGCCCACAAGCAGGATATGAGTGTAGCAGTATCCTCCTGTCTGAGTTGCCCAGCTACTGGTATACCTAGGAATCCTGCCTCTGATACTAGAGTTAGCCTGTCTGCCTGCTTGTCTGTCTGATTTATATCCTGACTTTTTTTAAAAGAACTCAAAGCAGCTTACTTCATTCTCCTCCTGGTGCTCTCAATCTTATCCCCATAACAACCCTGTAAAGTAGGTTGGGCTGAGAGTCGGTGAGTGGCCCAAGTCACCCAGTTGGCTCCATGGCTGAGCAGAATCTCAGAATATCTGAACCCAGATCAGTCCAGTACGAGTCCCATACTCTTAGCCACTATACCACACTGGCTCTCTTCATCCATCAGTGGTTGTAGCCATTTATAGCTGTTTCCTTCCATTCCCTCTTCAGTCATCATTTTGGCCATCACTACTTCCTAAGGCAGTGAATTCCATAGTTTAGCTATGCATTGTGGGAAGAAGTACTTCTTTTTTAATCTTCTACCAATGAGCTTAATGGGATGACTCCAGGGAATATTATGGGAGAGAAAGAAAATGTCTCCCTCTCCACTTTCTCTATTCCATACATAATTATGTACACCTCTAACTTGTCTTCCCTTACTTCCTTTTTTCTAAGCTAATCAATTGTAGATGTAGCATTTCCTCACAGGGGTTTGCTCAGTTTAGTTGTCCTTTTCTGCACTTTTCCCAACTCTACAATATTTTAGATGTGGTGACCAGAACAGTATTCTAAGTGCTGCTGCACCATAAAATTGAATAAGCAAGTGCTAATAACATTGTGCCAGCATGGCTTATGCTTTGTTGTTGTTAGTTGCAAAGCGGTGTCCGACCCATTGCGACCCCATGGACAACATTCTTCTAGGCCAGGGGTCTCAAACTCAACTTACCTGGGGGCCGCTGGAAGTAGAGTCTGGGTGAGGCTGGACCGCATCAAGTATTCCACCACCGCGGTGATGGTGGGCCGCTCATCCCGCATCGCTCCCGGAGGCCGACCTGGGCGCCGCCAGCGCTTTGAAGGCCGCAGGGCCCCTCCCCCGTGCCCTGCCCGTCCCAGCACTTGGCCCGTGGGCCGTGAGTTTGAGACCCCTGTTCTAGGCCTTCTTGTCCTCCACCATCCCCCGGAGTCCACTTAAGCTCATGCCGACTGCTTCAGTGACTCTATCTAACCACCTCATTCTCTGCCATTCCCTTCTTTTGCCATCATTAGGGTTCCCAGCATTACGCTCTTCTCCAGGGAGTCCTTCCTTCTCATCAGGTGGCCAAAGTATTTGAGTTTCATCTTCAGGATCTGGCCTTCTAAACAGCAGTCAGGGTTGATCTCCTCTAAGACTGACTGGTTTGATCACCTTGCGGTCCAAGGTACTTGCAGGAGTCTCCTCCAGCACCACAATTCAAAGGCTTCAATTCTTCGGCGCTCAGCCTTCCTTATGGTCCAGCTTTCACAGCCATACATTGCAACTGGGAAAACCATAGCCTTGACTATATGCACTTTTGTTGGCAGGACGATGTCTTTGCTTTTTAATATGTTGTCTAGATTTGCCATAGCTTTCTTCCCCAGGAGCAAGCGTCTTTTAATTTCTTGGCTGCAGTCCCCGACTGCAGTGATCTTGGAGCCCAGGAAAATAAAATCTGTCACTACCTCCATTTCTTCCCCATCTATTTGCCTGGAAGTGAGCGGACCGGATGCCATAATCTTAGTTTTTTTAATGTTGAGTTTCAAGCCAACTTTTGCACTCTCCTCCTTCACCCGCATCAAGAGGCTCTTTAGTTCCTCTTCAATTTCTGCCATTAGAGTGGTATTATCTGCATATCTGAGGTTGTTGATATTTCTCCCAGCAGTCTTAATTCCAACTGGTGATTCATCTAGCCCCACCTTTCTCATGATGTGCTCTGCATATAAGTTAAATAGGCAGGGCGACAGAATACAGCCTTGCCAAACTCCTTTCTCAATTTTGAACCTATCAGTGGCTCCATGTCCAGTTCTCACTGTTGTGTCTTGACCCGCATATAGGTTTCTCAAGAGACAAATAAGATGGTCTGGTACTCCCATCTCTTTAAGAACTTACCACAATTTGTTGTGATCCACACAATCAAAGGCTTTAGCATAGTCAATGAAGCAGACGTAAATGGTTTTCTGGAACTCCCTAGCTTTCTCCATGATCCAGCATATGTTGGCAATTTGATTTCTAGTTCCTCTCCCTCTTTGAAATCCTGCCTGTACTTCTGGTAGTTCTCGGTCCACATACTGCTGGAGCCTAGCTTGTAGGATTTTGAGCATCACTTTGTTAGCATGTGAAATGAATGCAATGGTGCGGTAGTTTGAACATTCTTTGGCATTGCCCTTCTTTGAGCTCTTGTTAAGCTCTTTCTTCTTTGAGCTCGTTAAGCTCTTTCTTGTATAGTTCCTCTGTGTAATCTTGCCATCTCTTCTTAATCTGCCTCTCTTAGGTCCCTGCCATTTTGGTTCTTTATCATGCCCATCTTTGCATGAAATGTTCCCTTCATATCTCATTTTCTTGAAGAAATCTCTGGTCCTCCCTATTCTATTGTTTTCATTTATTTCTTTGCACTGTTCATTTAAGAAGACATTCTTATCGCTTCTAGCTATTCTCTGGAATTCTGCATTCAGTTGGGTGTTTCTTTCTCTTTCTCCCTTGCCTCTCGCTTCCCTTCTTTCCTCAGCTATTTGTAAAGCTTCCTCAGACAGCCATTTTGCTTTCTTGCATTTCTTTGTTCTTTGGGATGGTTTTAGTTGCTACCTCTTGTACAATGTTGCGAACCTCTGTCCATAGTTCTTCAGGCACTCTGTCTATCAGATCTAATTCCTTAAATCTATTTGTCACCTCTACTGTATATTCATCAGGGATATGATTTAGGC